TGAGTTAGTGATCGTACAAAAATGTAAACTAATGTGGTCTGTTTCTAGTTCTTCTGAATCCGAATGTTTTTTTCAGTGTGTAATTCGAGGGACATCATTGAGCACAATTTTATCACCACACAGAAGAGGAAAACTGATGAGCTACAGATTCACAAAGATTATTCATGATGGAGTACTTGCTTTGCTAATTATGGATTTTGGATGACAAAATGTTCAGACAAATCTAACAGTGTGAGGAGCTTTTCCACAACCATCAATCTGATCCGGAAGACATGATAATGGAGACAATATTGGACATTTAGAATAAAAAAAATATACCGAATGTTTCAGCAAAGGCGAGAAACAGACGGCAAAAATGATTCCACATCATAAAGAAAAGCGTTTGGAGACGAAATTTTTAAAAAATCTGATGACGTGTGTGATGAACAGGTAACGTCTGGGAAGAGGAAGTGCAGAATCACCACAACAAAGAGGCCACGTCATAATGAACAGCTTCAGTCTCGTAAAAGGTTGAAGGTGACGTCATGCGATCCCATGCACCAATCAGGATTCAGGGTAATCTTGTCAGGAAACTCTGAATCAGATCTGATCAAGCATCAATCACAGCCGTGCTGAAACTTTGATTGTTGCTTGTTAACGCACAAAGTTTGATGTCTTTTCAGAGGTTTAAATATTACAGAACTACCAAAATAATAATATTGCTGCTTTGTCACATGGATCCTGATGAACAAGGAGTTATGACTGATGGGAGTGGATCCACTGCTGCTCTGTGACGTGTATATGTTGCTCTCTGTGTTATTGCAGCCATGTGGGGAAACTGTGACTTCATGTTCATGAATAAATAAAAGAGGGCTTGTAGTAAGAAGCTGGAGCAGATCTGTGGCAGAGGTTGGTGGTGAGGGGCGGGTGAGGCGGGGGTTTGGACAGTCGGAGGTGGGTGTGCAAAGGGCTGCACCAGTCAAAGCTGCAGTTTAAATATAGCCGGCAGAGCGGCACTCACTTGTTGTTTGTTGGGCGACAAAAAAGAGGAGAGAGACTCGTAAACAAGCCTCAGTTCAACGTGGTGTCGACGGATTTGAAGCCTTTTTTAAAAAATTTTTCTCATGGCGAACAACAAACATCTGGCATCACGAGTGACATTACTTTTAGATTTGCAGAAAGTATGTAGAAGGCGGCTGCTTTGATGCCTGACACCAGTTTTCCAACGCCCCTCTCCAGCTGGTTGTGGCCAGCTCTTCCCCTCCAACATGTTTACTTATTTTACAGCCTGAAAACAAAAAAAATAAAAATGTGAGACTACTTAAAGCAACTTTTTTTTTTTCTTCTCCTGCCTGGCTGGCACCGAAAGCATGACCGGAGGAAATATTTGAAATTTCCAGCGTGCAGTTTTCCATGAGAACAGCAGCAACAGTCAAGCCATGTGGGAGCCAGATACGTTTGAGAACCGTTCCCTGGCTGTTTGTGTGTTTACTGCAGGCCATTACTTCACAGCTCCTTCCTAAGCAGCTCCGCTCACTTAAAGAAAACAAGTAAACTCTCACACAGGGTCCTCAGAAGGTCCGACAAGCTGCAGGAGGAAGAATTTGATCATTTCCTGCTGTTAGGAACAACACAGAAGATGTCTAAAAAAGCCTGGGAACGACTTTTAGTACATTTAATCAACTGTAAAATAGCGTAGTCTGGATGTCAGCGCAGCCTTTTACACATCTCAGGAGGTTCACTGCAACTTCTTGCCTTCTAAGAATAAAAATCTGGAGGGGACCCGAGAGACTTCACTGAAAACAGATTTAAAGAATCTGAAAGTTTGTTGTTATCAGATTCCATCAAAAAAAAAAAAGAACATGTAAACAAACAAAACAAGTGTGAACCCTAAATGAGTTGATTAAAACAGGACATCATCGTGCTGTTAAGGCTGCAGCTTCAACATGTGATTCCTATTGGACTGCACACAGAGCCGAGCGCTGCTGCTACAAACAGACGGCAGCTTTGATGGTTGGAGGAGAACCGATTCTTTCAAGTTTATCAGATTTTTACGCCGGTCTGTGGAATCTGATAAGAGAAAGGTTAAGTGAATGACAAACTGGAAATTAATCACGACACCAGCGACTGAATCATTTTGCTTTAAACTATTTAGAAACGATTCCAGCTTAACTGGAAGCTACATAAAACCCTGCTGCAGGATGTGTGTTTACATGCAGCAAAGCATTTAAACATCAGCTTCTTTGACATGTGCCAAACAGCCCACTGCAATCTGCTGGAAAGACAATAAAACAAACACTTTTCCCAACTTCAGTTCAGAAAATGTGATTCATTTAATAGAAGAAAATCACTACGACGGGCCCACACTGTGTCCTGGGAACAATTTGTGTTTCTGCTGTTCTTTCCAACGGCAGCATTCTCAGCATAATTCTCCTGTAATCATTAAACACACGGAGAGCGTGAGAGAACCTTTACAGCTTCTCCACAACGGTTACTTCGGTGCCTCTTCCTCCGCTGAAGACCAAAGTCCAAAGCGAAGACCTGCGGGAGATTTGCTCTCATTCACGGAGTGGAACATGCGTTTAAAAAAGAATATTCCAACCTTAAAGAAATGATCAGATGAAGCATTTACAAGGTTATTAGATGCTAATATTTCCCTACTGAAGGGAATATTAACTGGGGCACAATTTTAGCTCTAAATTAACACTTCTTGACCATATAACTTATGGTACTTATTTGCCACATTAATATGCATTATAATCAGATTCCATCCCACTGGGCTGGATCAGGTCCTGCTGCTCCGACTGAGGCGGTTTAATGAGGTACTTTTATTCTGATTATTAGTGGAATATTAGGGCCCACGTAAACACAGCTAATGTGTGAGCCTTTGTTGCAAAATTCTTGTAAATGAAAGTAAAGACTGGTCTGTGCTGCTGCCTGCACAGCTGAGAAAAGCATTTAAGTAACTGTATGTGACTTTAGTTAAGCATTTTAACAACACCTCTCTTTTTACATGTGCATTTATCTAATGTTCTGCTTTTTGAAGGAGATCATTCCTTTCCATTTTGTAACACACACTGGTAAGATGGGGATGCCATAATTGAAGTTTTATTTGAAACAGCTACTTAATTTCTGTGAGCACTTGGGAAAGAAACCCCTCAGAAACGGGTTTTTACACAACACTGGTTCTGTCAATCAGAAACCAGCTAAAAGATCTGGGAAGAAACGGGAGCTGCTGAAGCGAGAGGGACGCTACATCTGCACACGGCAACTATTTAAATATCCAAAAATCCTTTTCCAAAATCACAGACTCCACCTTTAACAGTCCTCTAACACACGGGTCCGCAGCTGTTTTTATGTTAGACTGCAACATGGAAAATCTGCATCCTGTAGGGAATAATGAGAAAAGATAGACGGAGCCAAATTCAACCTTATTACCCCACAAATAGCCTATAGAGTTACTTTATTGAACGCTTGTTCCGCTGTCTTAGTCGGATCATAAAGTTTTATCATTGCCTGCAGCTCACTGTTTTAGCTTGTGACTGAAATTAGCAAATACTGTAAAAAATGTTCATATACTGTAAGCTGGTGGACATGTGTGTACTGACTGTAACACCGCCAAGGCAAAATAACGTGATCTGATCTGAGAGAACCCTTCTCACAGATTCTACGGTTTGTGCTTAAATTTAACAACTTTTCAGGCTGAGGTCAAGTGTTCAAGAGGAACATGGAGGTGAAGTGCTCGGTAAGTCTCTTATAGCCAATCCAGCTGCTGAAAAAAAAGAAAAAAACGGCTTAATAAAAGACAGTTATTTAGTCAGAGTGAGGACAATATTATGGAAGCTTTTAAGGGGAGACGCCACATTTCAACACGGTAAAAGAAAACTTCCACAGCTTCACAATTCTTTCACTTTGTTAATGAGTTACGCTGTCAACATCTGGGAAAACAATATATAAAGTTTAGGAAAAAATGCTCAATCAGTCAGGTTATAAATGATGTATGAATCTTCATGCACACACAATAATAAAACTGTAAAGTTAAGTGTCTGCTGAAGTAGACATTTCAGGCTCAGAGAACAACTTGAGAACAGCCTTTAAAGAAATGAGATATAATCTAAAAAAGACACTGTATTTGGGTTGTTTCTCTCCATAAGTCTAAAAGAAGACACGTTAGAATTAACCAGTGCCTGTAGAGTCTCCCCTTAATGAAATAGTTAAATGATTTTGCCAGGTTCAGGCTTTTAGTTTAGCTTCTTTCTTTTCTCAAGAATGCTGTAAACAATGCAATCTAGTAGTGTTTATCAGAGGTACATCCATCCATCCATCTATACACTGCTGAATCCTCACTAGGGTCATGGGGGGGCTGGAGTCTATCCCAGCTGACTTAGGGTGAAGGCAGGGGACACCCTGGACAGGTCACCAGTCTATCACAGGGCTACACTTAGAGACAGACAACCAAGCACACTCACATTCACACCTACGGACAATTTAGAATCACTAATTAACCTCAACATGTTTTTGGACCTTGTGGGAGGAAGCCGGAGAACCCGGAGAGAACCCATGCTGCACGGGGAGAACATGCAAACTCCATGAGAAAGATTCCAGTGCCCCCACTGGGACGCAAACCAGCGACCTTCTTGCTGCGAGGCAACAGTACTTACCAACTGCGCCACCTTGCAGCCCAGGTACATACATAATCCTGAATAAAAAGTCTGTTTTCATTCAACACGTTGCACCAGGTTTGTCCAGGTCAACTTTGGGTTTTTACCATCAGGTTTCCTCTCTCTACCAAAACCCAAGGTTACCGACTGCACACTGGGTGAACAAGATGGTGACTAAAAAACATGAAAAATACAGTTACGTAAGGCAGCCTGTGATTTTTATGTGGTGAAAATGTCATCTCATGTGCATCTATTCAACTGTAAAACTGTGTTAATGACAAGATAACGAAGACGTAAGCTGGAGGAGGGAGTGACCGAAGAGTCACGTGAATTAATAAACAGCACATAGAACAAGCAGAGTTCTGTTTTTGTTTTTATTTAATAAGCTGGTTCATAAATTATCGCACATAAAAGATTCTTTTCAGTAGTTACAAAGTGGATAGCAACTTCAGTTAGCGCCTGGAAAAAGTAAAACGGATAAGGAGAAGATTGCCAACGGGGGGAGTTTGATCGCACCGATTTGGACTTTATCAGTCGACTGAGTGGCAGTTATCATCGTAGACCATTCCCATACACACTAATGGACCAGTGAGGACGAATTGTCATCTGTTCTGATCACTGGACAAACACAGCGTAACCACGGTAACGTAGGTGACCTCCTGTGGTGTTGTGAATAAGTGTCTGTAACATCACCATGGAAACAAAACGAAGCTTTGTAACGTGGTTAAAGTAGCGACAGGGTGTGTTTTTATCTAAATCTGTTCTTCAGTAGTTTTGGTATGTAAATGTAACCAAGAATGTTTGATGCCTAAACAAAACTAAGTACTTTTGATACACAAACTTTATTAAACAGAAAACAGAAGCAAACAGCAAATGAAAATAAGCAGCTGTCCTCGGTGAGACTCGAGCACAAGCCTCCTGACCAACCTCCAAATTGAGACGTTTGTTCTTCTCTGTGAAATGTGGTGACAACAGGCTACTGAGCTCACTAGAAGGTGGCCTGTATGCATGGGAGTGATTTGTGATGATAACGCCTACTGAAGGGCACGATAACATCCAAATCAGGTGTCGGTCTCGACTTCTCGGGGGGTTCACACAGTGGAGCAGAGAAGAAGCAGCCAACAGGAGTTTGAAATGTCCAACCGCTGTCGAATCATGTTCCTAAAGGGCTGCAGTTCATCACCAGACTAGCAGCAGACAAGACGGCCACATGCGTTTTCCAAGCACAGACCGAACTCTTGTTTCTGGTCTCCAGTGTATTCAAAATAGTCGCAAAATGAAAAGGAGAAGGGAATAAATTATAGAATAAAAAAACAACAACAAAAAAAAAAACAGCACTAGCTACATGTTAGGCTCACAAAAACAAACTGAACTAAACATGTTGAAGTGGCATCTTCTTGGCTTGACTTTCTTTCCCCTTCTTTTCCTGGAGCGACTGATGTGACGAGAGGCTAAACAGGTTCCATAGTGGTTAAGAGGCAGCGCGGTTACGCTGCAGGAGCATTTTTAATAACTCATTTAATCAAAATAATAATAATAATAATAATAAAAAAAACACTGTTCCTTCATTTATTTATTTCTGTAACTCTTTATACTTTTCTACAACTACCTTCTCCTTCCCTTGTGGCGGTCACATCACAGCTGACCGACGGGCCGCGAAGATGGATTTGTTCAATAAGACTAAAGGAAGGGAAGGAAACCCACCTCGCTGAAACTTGGTCTGAGGGAGTGACGGGTGAGCGTCACTGGCTAACGCTAGTTTTCACTCTACGAGCTCAAGTCCTGTCTTGCTCTGGTTTCAGGAATCTAGTGGCCAAAGTTTCTCTCGGCGTGATGGGAGCCTACTTGGAAATTTGCTGCTGGATGTGCTGCAGGAAATCACGGTAGGAAGAAGCCACCTCGGACTGGTCCTCCACCAGGTGCTGGAACAAAGTGGCTTTAGCTGAAGCATCGTCTCTGCAGGAGAAAAAACAAACTGCTTTGTACATTTTGATTCTAAAAACGAGCGGTTTGCTCTGCTTTAGAACAGACGTTTGTGCCGGCTACGCAGGACAGCACCGTCGATGAGCAAACAGTAAAGGTAATGAGTCCATGTCCGTGGCTCGTGTGTCTTATGTGACAGAAGTTGATCAATTTTACTGATATTTCTGAGGATGTGATGAAGAAAAATGAAAAACATTCACGATTGTTGTCATTCTGTTGCTCTCTTAAGCGTCGCAAACGTTCCTCTATGTAGGAAAAACCCTGACAAGGCTGGAAACTTCTGGAAATATCTCACTGACACTGCTGTGGAGTGTCAGGTGGTTCTGATCTCAACAGAACTTTTGAACCCTTTTTTAACCTATACAATGTCGACTGTGGTGCTCAAACTGCAAAACAGGGCTGGACTGATTGGGGAAAATCCTTAATTGTAGTTTTTCTGACAGATTCAGTAATCTGATGTACAATATATACCTTTATATATTTAAGTCAAGCTTCATTTCAATATTTACAGTTTAATAGATTTAAATGTGATGGGAGCATTACCACATGGGATGCTTGACTGTGACACACACTGAGCCTGGGTTTATCATCAACTGCAGCCTTTGTGATTTGCTAATTGCACACATTTGTTAAGTGAAAATTCCTGAAAACACATGAGAGCTGGTTGCTGTTACTCTGAATCCTCCATGAGCCGATACTGAACAACCTGATATAAAGTCAACAAGATATTTGTCGCAGAAGCTGAGAACCATTTTCGCTCAGAAACAGTAAACACCGGAACCAGTCCTACACTGATTTAAAAGATATCCTCGATTTCCAAAGGAGAAATTCTAGGAGGAACTTTTCTGGATTTTTATCATTTGACGACCACTTCCAGGGGTCTTGACCTACAGGCTGGGAACTGCTGAGCTAAAAAAAAAAAAAAAAACGGTAGCTCCACATGTGTTGCCTTTTCTATTTTTGGGATGGACTTCCAGGTTTAGACGATCCTGAAATAGGCTGACATCGAGATAAATGATGCTTCATATAGTTCTGAAAGATTAATTAGGATATTCTAACATGCTGCCAGCTTAAAGCCTGGACTCACACTGAGAAGGAGAGTACAGTAGAGTTCATCATCAGTGACGCTTTGACAGCTAAAGCTCGACTCACAGATGACAGGTAATGATGCTGTCGCTCAGTTAAACAGGCAGCTTAACAACTGCTCAAGTGTTTTAACCTTTCCACAGCTATGTGCAGGCAGAACACTTCTCACAGTCACAGCGATGCATTTCAGTCGGCTGATGAAGTGTGTCAGGTACCTACATGAACACTGAAACAGGTTTTTCCTGCAGTTCATTCCTCCTGTTCAAACATTAAAAGACTCCTTCTTGTTGCAGTCTTCCTGAAAGCCATCTGATTTTTTTTTTTAATTTAATGTGAAACTGAGGTTTCAGCCATGTGAGTTAGATAAATCAAGTCGTGCTAGTCCTCTGCTGCAGCCAAACAGGGAAACAAAGAGGCAATTTTAAAACAAGACTTGATTTGTTACCTCTGATTTCAGCCAGCTCATTTACATTTGAAGCGCATCAATCAACTAAGTATGAACAGGAGGAATGGTTAGAGCAGGAAAACCTGTTTCAGGAGTCATATGGACTTGTTCCGTTCTGTTGTGTTGTTTGATGCACGTTTTGGGTTGGTTCTGGGTTCAAATAAACACACTTCTTTTCGTATTTACAGTTTTGAGCCAGGCTGTAACATAACTGCTTTACGACAGACTGGATTTGTTCTTTCAGCTACTCTTTGAAGTTACTACAACTAACACACAACGAGGTACACAATGATCACAGCTCCCATGTATTTTTGCATTTTACGCCTTTTAAAGAATGTCCTGTATTTATTGTTTTTTCAGAAAACCTCTTTAAGGTATGCCATTTTAGATGATTGAGCCCTGCGCCTCCCCGTGCAAACATCCGCTCAGATACCACTCAGTCCATTTGTACTGACATCAGCCAACAACACAGTCGCGTAAACATGTGGTTGAGCGACAATGCTGTGCCACAAAGAGGAGGAGAGAGAGGAAACGGTAACAATGCATTCCCTGTGGATGGCTTTACCGCTGCTGTCAGTCACTGACCTCACTGCTTACTTTGTGTTTACACTGGAAATAGTTTTCTGTCAACCTCAGGACAATCTCTTTAACATGAAACCGTCCACACCCTGTTTCTGTGGAGTGCCAGGGAAGTGCAGTTAGCTGGAAGTGTGGGGTTTTTACAGAGATGATCCCCATCAGACATCATTTCTGGGCACGTTACACGTACGACAGGCAATTATCACCTCCATTTATTTACTAGGATGTTCCTTTATGAATTGTTGCTTATCTTCAGAATGTTTTTGTTTGACCAAATGTCAGGCTCAGTTTATACTAATATCATAATAATATAAAGTCAAAGAAGATTTTATATTTTTATATGTTTTTGGATTTTACTTACATCCCAGCAGGGTGTTACGCTTGCTTGTATTTTTTCTTTTAAACTGTACTGAGGCTTACAGTTATGCATAATTAAGCGTGTGGTGGCAGGTGGGTGCTGTCACAGGATGGTCCAGACGTTTGCATGGCCCGCTTCACCTCCACTCATGGTCCACCTCTATGCTAATTTCCAGACTAGTTGGGAGTTAGAAGGAGTCAGGAGTCACTGCCAAGATGGTGACAGCCCAAACCACCACCAGCAGGTTTCCTAAACTTCACGAAGGTTCTTACATCTTTATATACAGGCAACAGTAACGGCCCTATGAAGTAAGTGCTTGTTGTTCTGTGGAGAACTTAGTGGAACTTCCATGGCACTCCAACTCACGTGTTGTTGCTCAGCCCTCCTTATTTCCTACAGCTGGTACTTTTAGTGATAGAGGAAGTGAAACCTAATCTGCTGAGGCCACTAATGAAAACCTGCTAGAATGCTTTGTTATTTTTGAAATTTAGGCAATAAAGAAGTACAAAAAGTAACTGACAGCCTTTATACGTCCCCGCTTGACTTTGCACCCAACATGTGGACATGAGAAGACGCACTCATTCAAACACAGCTCCCTGAGTGTTAGTAAAAGTCAGATGTGAATCCAGATGTGCAGCAGTGCTTACTTGACGACGTGTATCGTGGAGCTGAACGCTCGGTTGTCCTGCAGCCAGTCGAGTAACGCTCGCACCCTCTCAGAAAGAGGAGTCTCCAGCTCAGGAATGTGACTCTGGGTTTCACAGAGAGAACCAAACATCAGCAACATTGCTTCACTGCCATGTTCCAGATTATGCTATACAATGTGGGCAACAGACACATGCCTGTGGTGGGGAATGTGAGGCTCGTAGGTAGCTCTGGGTTACATCGACCTCTCGCTAGAAAAATAAAATAAACAGCACAAACAAGTGCTGACATTTGCTGTTTGTTCTGGGTGTTGCCGTGACGCCCACGCTGTGGCAATGACAGAACTTTCTAGGTGGCTGCAAGGTTTGTTAAAAAAGCAGAACAGCTACACCAGCAAATCTGTTTTGCTGCATAAGTTGTTTTTCTTTTTTTCTTTTTTTTTTAAAACAAGGCTAACAGAAAAGCAGTGCTTCATCACATTCAGGGAACAAGTACATTATTACATCACTCATGTAGAAACTGGGCGGTGGTGGCAGTGGTGCCATTTCCCTAATCACAGTTGTTCTCTGTCATTTCCTGACATGCTGGATGTGGATGAAGCATAAATGCATCATTTTGAACTGAAAGTTGCTTTCACTAATGTCTGTCTTACTGACCATGTTGGGGGGTATTGAAGCGTAGTTGGGGCAGCCCAGAACGTCTCGGATGAACATTTCGTTGCAGCATTTGCCAATCCACAGATAAAACACCTGGATGGACAGAAGGAGACAACAACAGCTTCTACATTTGTCTTGACATAAAAACATATTCATGACTGGTTGTGCAACAATAAAAGTCAAAGTCTCAACATATCAATACTCCTTGTCACCTGTTAATTTAGAAATTAGGTTTCCACAGCCTATAGGAAACACAATTAGGCATCTCTTTTCTTGATTTGAACCCACTTGGAGACTTCGAGACATTTTCTTCCAATGACTGGGTCCTTCACTCTTTTCATATATAAATATGTGTACAAATTCAATACCACAAAAAGGCAAAATCAAGTAATTAATATATATTATTTAGTAAAACATGGGCTATTTGATTTTTTATACTGCAGTGATATCATTGAAAGTTTCAAACTAGGAAAATAGCACAGTGTTTCCATGATGGATTACCAAGACTCTGGAGGCATTAGAAGAAAACGAGTCAGCTTGTTGCAACGGCTGAAATGTGCCCCGCAGGACAGTTTTTAAATTAAGTTGCTATATATATCTGTTACAGGGATATTATTAAAAGTCTGAAGTGAGTCCTGGTGCAGTTGTGGACAACTGACAAGAGCCCAGATGGTTAAACTGTGACTTTGCAGAAAACATTTGGACATTTGCTCATATTCCACAAAACACTCTCAGGTCTTTATTTCAGCCTTCAGTGAAACACAGATCTACATATACATTATCCACAGTCTAAAACATATGGAACACTATGGATTTCATTGTAATGCATCACAGCATTATGACATAATATGTCAATCATATGTTCTTCTCTATAAATTTTGTTCTCTGTGTTTTAAAGTCATTTTTGGCTTTCAAACTTGTTTTCAAAATTTCCCTCCCAAATTCTTACCATCTGTTTTATATGTGTGCAAATAAATGAAAGATACTTTGTGGAAAATTCCTTGACTTTAAGTTATATGACAGAAACTGAGTGAACCTGGACTGTAACGCGGATGTTGACGCTACTGTGGCCCATAATGACACAAAAAACACATTTAATTGATGGCAAATCAGCCATCATTTATCATTGTTACAGGTCTAACTCTGCCCTTGTCTTTAATTTACACCAAATATTTAGACAAGTTTGCAATTATCGTATTATCAAGAAAGACTCGAGGGATCTGCAGCACTAAAGTAAAAAACATAAACAAGATGAAATATTAATCCCCTGGAAGAGCCACACCTCTGCAGAGTGCTCTATGAATAAATACTGTTGAAAGCTTACGTTGCCGCAGTCCATGAGGAAAGCTCCGTCTCTGCTCAGCCTCTCTGCAGACAGGTGGAGCAGATGAGGCTGGGGAACCACGGTGTCGTTCAGATGGAGCGCCCCCTGCAGGTCACACACACACACACCCAGAGAGATGTCACTTAAACGACAACGTCTACCGGGGTACAGTAACAGAAGTTTGACCGACCACATGGATGAATACAGAGTTAGAACAACAGTAATATATCAACTGGAGGCTATAAAACATGTGACCACAATGTACTGCAGGATGTCAACTCCACATGCACAGTGTAACACTAACAACTGTTAAAATGTTCTACACATAGGGCTACATGTAGAATAAACACAACAAAGTCTCATATGAGTGATCTGAAAAAAAGTTTTAATTACAACTAGATCAAAATGAGGTGATAAACAGCTTGTGTTTGTTGTTAAAGTCTTTGCGGAAACTTGAGTGTGGATCCTTGCTGCCTGCGTCCTACCTGGTCAGTTATGTTGTCCAGCCTGTACAGGTCAGGATGAACCATTCGCATCAGCTGCTGCAGCGGCTGCGTCTTAAACTCACACATGGCAAAGACGCGCTCGTCCAGCCGCGTGCTGGCACCGGTCCGCAGCGCTTTCTGAAAACAAATGCACATCTTCTCAGCAATGTTTCCCTTTTCACATATGTATTCAAAGGTGTGAGGGTACACGTCAACCAGAGAGGTTTTCTATTGAGGCCAGCATATTTTTGCATTTATAGCACTGCATATTTACAGCAGTATGGTGCAGGCACTAGCAACGTGATGAAGTGCAGAGTGTGTTTTCGTGCTTGGTGTTTTTTTTTCAGTTTTTTTTCAACAGGTGAAACATGTTCAGCTTTGGGTAAAAGTCTGTGCAGGTCGCAGTCAGCTTTAAGCCAACAGGACAATCACAGTGGAAGATCGGTGGGACAAACACTACACCAACCAACCGTCACATTGTACTTCTACAACTGCTGAACAACAACACAGGAGAAGTTAATCATTCTGGTATTTGAGCTTCCATGTCTGTCCCACACCAGGCACAATCTTAATATGAAGTAAAAATCCTGCTGGAGGAATATTTCGCTCACCATGTGTCTACCAGGTGAGCAACAGTCAGCTGAGTCAGAAAACTGATCGGTACTTGCTAGACCTGACTTCTGCTGATGTTTTGTATCATAGCAACCAAAGCTTCTCAGTTAACAAAAACAACAAACTTCCAAAGTCCTCCAGCGTCTTCAGAAGAACGTCTCACATTTTCAGTGAAGGAAACGTTTTGGAGGACACCCGAACACCAGTGTGTAGAGATCTTTATCCAAGTGTTTTAATGTGTTACAGACATTAAAACTGTCCTGTACAGCTGCTTAAAGACAAACTTTAATGTGCAGCATTGATTAAAAATGCTCATAAAACATTCCTTATTTGCAATTAAAAGTGAATTAATCTGAGGTATTATCATAAATTGACAGTGAACTGACAGCAGTATTTGTCATTTAATTATTATTACTATTATTATTTTTTTCAGTACTCCTTAATTTGGTTTGTGTCATCGACACTCATGAATGCTTCAGGGTGTCAGCTGTTGCAGCCCGGCCAACACCTACAGGGGGATTTGTCTCAGAAAAGGGTGTGTGTGTTTGAACGTGAACACACCCTGGATGTGTGACTGCACACGTTCTGGGTGGATGAATACAGTCATTGACCAGGTCTGTATGACTGTAAACTCAGCCTTTACTAGCGTGTGTGTAGATGATATTTTGTAGGTTTTCTTTAGGTTGTGTAACGACGTTAATGTAGCTCATAATTTAGATGTGAAACACAGATGTAAAGGTTAAGTCAAGGCGACAACACGACACTGTTCTCTGCACTTTGGCCCTCAAAAACTTTGCAACAGAAGGCATTAAAGAGGGTAAAAGGTGGATTACTGCACGATTATTCAACTTCACACGTTACCAGACATTACGTTTATGCTTTTCTTCTGGGATTTTGAGTGTACGTGTGTGTCTAAAGCCCATAATTATCCTATGTGACGTGCGTGCTTCTGCGTCTTTATGTGCTGATGCCGGTTGAGCAGCCACACCTGTTTGAGGAGAGCAAGGATGTAGAGGGGGAAGAGGCGCATGGACGCAGGGACGACAAGTCCGGACTGCTGCAGGTTTGACACGTTGCTCTTGTAGGCGCTCACCAGGTCCACCACCGCGTTCACCAGAGCGTCACGTGCATCTGACAGACTGGACGTTACGGACCGGTCGATAGCTGGGAAATAAGAGACGGGATTAATTGATTGTTGCTCCTAGACAGTGTTTTTTATCATTTCTGAGCAGAAACACGAGTAGTTTAATTTGATTAAACGTCTCCACTAATTCTAGTGTGGAAAAAAAAAGGCTGCCTGCAAAGGAAGATAGAGATGTTTAACTTAACAGTCACCATGACGTGTGGATTGCATACAGTTTGTATTAAAACACAAAAAACTTTTTTCAGAGTATAATTTTCATAGCATAATTGCTTATTTTGCTTATAATAGTAATAATAGATATTTTAAAGTAACTTTGTTCTACAGATCTTATTCAGGAAAAAAAAGCCAGATATAAAAGGTTTCCATCAGATTCTGTAAAAAAAACAAAAACAAATTGTGACCAACTAGTCACACGACACAAATTCAGAGCCCAATCAGCTGAAATGAAAGCTGCATTTACGCAGAGCAGAGAGGAGACATGCATGGAAGAAATTTAAAGGTTGAGAAGAAAATACAACATCAATAAAATAAATGAAGCAAAGCCCAAAAACAGAATGGGAGGGAGTACATAGTTGGAAGAGACATGCAGCGTGGCGAATCTTTCTCAAGCTGATGTGTAGAGTAGTGTGAAAAAAAAGTGTTTGTAAAGGTTGTAAAAAAAAAAAGTAATGTAGTATGTTTTTAGTATGCAGAGCTACAATTTGTCAAAGTGTTTAGCAACGCTTGTGGGCACAAAATGTTGAACATGTCATTTCCAGTTTTTTTCAACTTTTTTCCAAAATAAATAATCAAAGAATTCCAACATTTGCTTTGCTATTTAATGACATTTAACTTTGTCATAAGGACACAAAAGATATTTTGTACTTGTCTCTAGTTCTAGTCATGGTTGTTCTGTTTCCGTGGATTTATGCGACTTTATATTGCGGTACAAAAAATGAGCCAACAGTGAGGAAAAATGTGACAAGAGCCAAAAATAATAATAACTTGAACAGTAACAGGGTTGAACAGAAAAAGTGATGATGAGCATTAGTTAAAAAAAAAAGGCCACTCCCTGAATGTTTTGTGTGCTGACCTTTGCTTATGAGAAATAGAGACGTATCCGACTCTGTGACCTCTGTCTGACCTGTATGTTGTGAAATGCTTTTTATGTTTTTTTTAGCTGAGGGTTAGGGTTAGCTGTTAAACGATGCTTGAATCAACCCTCGTAGTGAATCCTGATATTAGCGTGGGACATCATTAACATGTATTAAAGGTTACCTGTTTAAAGGTCAAACATGATGACACTAAAGAGTCATTTTCACACATGGGTGAAGTAGATTTAAGACTTAAAGCGGTGTGAACGTTGTGTCTATGTTTCACGACTCACCCATGTTGGCTAACAGACAAGTGATTGCTTGGACGTCGGCTCCAGCATACACATCGCTCAGCTGGTTGACCACCGGCAGACACAGTGTGTGGACCCTGATGCGCCTCTTTCCTGCAAAAATAGATCAAAAAAATAGACCTGCATGAACATTTGATTTGAGGATTCAGTTGGGGATAAAAAACTAACATGCAACCTTCGTATTTGCCCAACCGTGCATCATATGTGAACTAAACAGTCATGTCCACACCAGGAAATCAGTCCAAACTACTTGCAGTTCCTAATGTTGGTTGCTGGAGCAGTGTTTCAGCCTTTAGCCTGGCAGGAGAAGACAATATTTTTTGTGTATACCTCTACTAGACGTGTAGAGCAGAGCAGCCTGGAAGCAGGCCAGTGACGAGTCTGCCAGAGAGTCTTCGATTGACATCTGGACAGCGAAGGCAGAGTCTGGGTTCACATTAGCCAGGGACAGCAGGTCAGTGGAGCGCACAAAGAAGTTCCCGTGGAACGTGTGGATGGATAAACCTGAGGGACAAAAGTTATGTTTGAAAAGCAGAAGCAGAGGAAAACCTCTAACATCAAAGAGCAAACCACACATTAAATATCTGGTGGGTGACATCCAATCCGGCTACCTTTAGTGCATCGTATTCTCATGACGGCCTCAAAGCCGATCTTCCTGGTGAGGTAGCGCTCCAGATCCTTCTGGAACTTCTCCAGCTGAGCCGGGTTGTGGATGTAATGAAAGGAGGGGTAGTAGAAGATGCTGCCTGCCGAATACTTTGAGATACATGCTGAAGAACAAGAAGAAGAAGCAGTGGTAACTTAAAACTCCATTCATGACTGGTGGAATTAAAGGGGAATAGTGAAAGACTCCATCACAACAAACACTCGTGTCCCAGTGGCTCCAAAGCTCTAACATGTGCTATTAGTAACTACAACCATATTGAACATATTAGTCAATGGTAGGGAAGTGAACTACGCTGCAGGAAGTTTGAAAAAGCTTAGAGTGAATTTCTTTTTAATTATTTCTTAGTAGGTTTTAAAAACACATTAAAAAAAAACTAAAGAAAAATCAAACAGAAACAGAAAAATCCCACAAACCAACCATCAAATGACAACTGCTGCAAAATACACAAATTAAAATCTCTAGTTTTTGTACAGGAATGCAATAGGAAGTAATTAACATCTACAGATGAGATATGTACATTAAAGTCTCTGTATAAAAGAGCGAGGAGGACTCCAAAGTCTTCAGAGTTTATCCGGTTTATGATTTATGAGTTTCTGATGTGGGACAAGCCAATATGAGCGCCACATGTTGACTGTAGGAACATGTAGAGCCAGAACAACATTGTAAACTACATGTTTTTTAGCTACAAATAAAAGAATTACTAACAAAAACTCGATATCTGTATCAAAACAATCATCCAAAATATGATTTAACAGACGAAACAGGGACGCTAACAGCTTGTTTACCAGCAACCTCTTGAAATGAAATGAATGAAATCTCTGGACATGATTGCATGATTTTTATAGCAGAGGTTTAAGGTGTTGGAGAACATTTTCTGGAGGCAAACTAAGGGCGTGTTCCAATATCCATACTATCATGTTATATAGTTTGCTAGAAAAAGGAATGGGCACGTTCCAGTGTTTAGTATTACAAAAAAAATAGCAGCATGGTCACATTTTGCAGTCGGCAGGCCTGCATGTTTTTTGGCTCATCTGACCCACAATCCTCCCACGGTGGAAGATACGCCACATATGTACAGTGCCTTGCAAAATGATTCATACCCCTTAAAATTCTCTACGCTTTGTCACGTTACAAGCACAAGCTTAAAAGTATTTTATTGGGATTTTAGGTAGATCAACACAGAGTAACACATAATTGTGAAGTGCAAGGAAAATGATTCATGATGTTCAAGGTGTTTTTACAAATAAAAATCTGAAAAGTGTGGCGGGCCTATGTATTCAGCCCACCCTGAGTTAGTACTTTGTCAAACCAACTTTCGCTTTAATTACAGCTGGAAGTCTTTTGGGGTATGTCTCTACCAACTTTGCATCTTTAACACCACATATCATTTTCCTCCTGCGTTACAATTATGAGATACTTTGTGTTAGTCTATCACATAAAATCCCACTAAAATACATTTAAGTTTGTGCTTGTAACATAAAATGTGGAATTTCAAGGGGTATGAATACTTTGTCAAAGCCTGTATGTGTGTCGCACAAGTACAAAAAGATCACAACTCATTTAATGCAACAGAAAGATACATGAGCAAGATGGTTAAAGCTTAAGATGCAGAATTGTGACGAAACAGTCTGTCCTGTGTATGAATACTGCATAAAATGGTATAAACGTTGTAAGGGCCGCTGCAGTATATATGGAAAGTACACATGAAAGTATGCAAATTGGAATGCAGCCTTTTTCTTCATCTGCTGTTGAGGACTGAGTGTTACAACAACGATCGCCCAAACCATGACAGTAGCCTACAATGACATTTTTATGCTGTTTGATGCAATTCAGGCTTTCTGGTTGCATGTTAGAATCACTCTGTGCAAAACAAGACGCTAAAAACTTCCCACAGCAGTGAGGTGTGAATGTATGTGCTCTCACCTAATGAGGCGAGGTCAGCGTACTGCGAGCTGAGCAGGAAGAGATCCACTCCAATCTGTTGTCCTGAGCAGTCCAGTGCAAGTTTCTTATAGAAGTCTGTGGCTGGGCCAAGGTGCTGTACTCCCTGGAAAGGTACCAAGTTATCACCAAGAGATCCTCAACATCGTGGATAAGTGTGTATTTTATATATTAAATATTTAAAGCATAATACAGACGTAGATGTAGCATGAGTACAGGTGTGTATTTTCTTTAATTTTTATGTTTTTTTCAGCCTCAAAATCCTCCTGAAAGCACATAAACCAACAGAAAGCAGCTTTGCCCTGAGCAAGAAGACATCTGCTCTTTGTTCGTTTTATTCACAATTTTTGGAAACCCTTGCTCTGACTTCTTGGCAGTTTACTGGGATGAAAAATAAAATGATGAACATCAATAAATCACAGTCCTGGGATGACAAAAACACACTTGGCTCACCATCACAATGTTCAGTTTCTGAGCTGAAATATAAGATCCAACTGTATGGTTGTAATAAAAATGAGCTGTGACGGGAATATAAATATAGCACAGCACAGAAAATGCCAGGACACTGAGTATAAATCCACATAGTAGTGACTCTTTGGCTATACTTCATCTGTCATACGGTTTGGTTTATGCTTCATAAATCACAGGAAAGGTGGTGCAGCCATCACTGAGAAGTCCCACTCTATTTAAAAAGGTTGGAGGTAAATTGGTGAAAGATAAGAGGCAAAAACCTGAACACACTGCAGCAGCAATTCTAACTTTACCATCAGTATTTCAAAAAAGAACTATCACCAACCTTAGCATTCGAACGCTGATTGGGGTCTTCTCTCGACTGCAGCGCCCCGGCACCCAGCGTCGGCAGCTGAGTCTGGAACACCGTAACGCGGCCGCCGGTTGGTGACATGAGCTTGAAGGCGGCCTGTAAGGCAGGACCGAGGGCACTGTGGGTCTCCCTGCTCTGGCTGAACATCTCCGGTAGCGACGTCAGCAGGTCCTTCACCAGCTGGAGGAGGGAGGAGTAGAGATGGAACAGAAAGAAAAATGTTTCACGATGATCCGAGAACATCTAGCTGTTTCACATGTTGTAAATGTTAGTCCTAATTTACTGTATATAAGCTAATTATTACGTTTGTTGCTTTTACATGCACAATTTTGCACAAATCTACTGCGGTCGGTGACAAAGCATTTTATTGCACACTGTATGATTGTGATGAAACTTGAATTTGAATGTCATCTGAAAAGCGGCAGGAAGAGAGGTAGAGGAGACGAGGGCAAGAACATGAGGACGAGGACACAAAGGAGAACAGTCTACCTCTTTGCTCTCCTTCAGGTTCACCATCAGACTGTCATGAGACGGGATAAAGACATCTGCAGGGGGAAAAAAAAGTGATGTTAAAACTAAAGCAAAATCACAATTTTCACTGTCAGTACATCTGAAAATGTGATACCTTCTTACTTCTGCTTGGTAGATGGAGAAGTGGACTAGCAGCAGATGAATTTTAAAATGTCATGGCACAGTTTAAATTCATTAAAGAGGAATTTATCAATTCTCCAACGTATTAGCAATCAAGAAAACATCTACCAATCCATTTTTGATTACCAACTCCAAAATTATTTAGACGACATTTGTTCTTAAGCGTTTTAAAACAAGCAATCAAACAAAACAATAGTGTGATGGGCATAGCTTTTACAGATTACGTGCAACCAAGCACCAGATTTATAGTAAAATAGTTAATCACGATGTTGATTGTGATGTTTCATCATTCTGAGAAGACGACTTTCACAAACCTGTGTCAAAGTGGCTGCAGTGGATTGATTGTCACATTATGAAATGAAAATAAATCTGTAGCTGCTCCTGAATAAGAGAAGCTTCCTTAAGTAGTTAAAACAATTACTTGTAGGAGTGGTCTCTTTATCTATTTAACCCTCTGAACCCCAAAACCAAAAGGAAGTTGTAAATGTTCAGTAAAAAGTCACAAATACTCCATTTATCAGAGTAACAAACTAAAAAAACAGAAAGGATTGTTAGATTTTTAACTTTCTGATAGTTCTTCTAACAATAACTAGCTTAAAATAATCACAATTAATTCAAATTCCAGTAGTCAGCATGACAATACCAGATGCTGTAAAAACAAAACAATTCTTCGCTCTTCAGGGCGACTGAGAAGCCATGAGCTGTGATCAACATTCACGTGACAATAATTCTGAGACCATTTAGCTGAACTGCAGGCTGTGTTCACACTGAGCAGAAAGGAGACGACAAGACAGACTGAGAGGGAAATGAAACATACTGGATCAATAAAATAACTGCTGCATGGCTCAAAAACAGTTTTCAGAGGAGTAGGTTGTCAGCAAGTTGGTAGAAGATACACTCAGCATGGTGAACTATATTTCTAGAGTTGATGGGGAGGGTAGTGTGGAAGACGCTGACTTGGTCGAGGTTGTAAAAATGTAAATAGGCTAAGTCAAGTAGTCTGTCCAAAGCATGTGGAGCATCATTTCCTATCAGGGTTGCCAACACCAGTGGGCAGTTTTTTCAGCTTAAACAACTAATAAAAGGAGTTCATCTTGTTTTTTTTTAATGATTTATTTATAACTATGTGGCGCTGCATAGAAGATATCTGGGAGTTGCTTTTACTTCTACCTGTAGTTGTGTTTTTTTTCCATAGAAGTGCAGGACTTTATATTGCAGTGAAGATTTAGCTTAGAGTGAGCAAAAATGTGGTAGGCCCAGAAACTGCTTGGAGCTAATAACGATGTAACTTCTTGTCAAGTGTCCTGATTACCAGATGAGCGTGATGGGTGGCTTGCTTTGGAAACTGCTGCCACAGACACCTACAGCTGGTTAAAGAACAAAGAGTCCTTTTCTGATGGAGTGAACAGACGTACCATCAATGTCGGACACCACCAGCATCTGCGGCTGGGACAGTCCCTCCTGGAGGTTATAAAAGTGGATGGTGCTGTCAAAGGTGAGGAAGCCCACCCTGGTGCGCATATCCCCCGGCAACCTGAAGCACATACCAAACATGGTGAGCACTGATTTTTAAACTACCAGGCTGTGACAGATGTTCATCACCATCTGCAAACTCACAAAGCAGCTGCATTTATATTCAACTGTAAACACAATCAGCACTTACTTAGTCAGGTTCTCAAGAAGCGATTCACAGAAGTACTTCAAGTATCCTGCTTCTACGGCATTGTGAGACACATCGAGCACAAACAGGTAGGCTGCCGGCTGAGGAGGCCGCAACTGAGCACACAGGAGGCAGGAGGGTAAATAAGCAATGAATGAAAAAAATGTCTCTTTTTTACAATATGTAATTCAAGTCATCACCTCACATGTGAGAGAGTACATCTCTTTGGTCTGTTCAAACTATAATGCTCATATTGCAGCAATAACACAACACTGCCCTCTACTGGACAAACCATCACAATACACGTGACATGGATGTGGGGCATTTTACCATGTAATCTGACGAGGCGATGAACTCCACTGTGGAGTTTTGGACCTCTGGCCTCTTGTGTGGTTCACCGTATGACCGGGTGACTGGGTTGTACATAAACTCATCTGGAACTAAACAAGACAGAAAAAACATTAAAAAAAGGTATGACATCTGCAAGTCTAAATAAAACACAAAATGATGAAATGTTAAAGAAATTAGAGGGTTGCAAACACAAAAAGCCCCAACGGTGCTACTTCCTGAATAACATCTCATACCATCGTTGACCCGGTAACACAGGTTGCACTTCCACCTGCGCTGATCCAGGAAGGTGACGAATGGATTGATGTAGGTACGACAGGAGCGACAGCGCACTATCGTGTTTGATGTGATCACTGGTAGCTGCTGCAGAGGGTAAGGAAAAAGGGTTTAGAGACAGATGGAGTGACTTCTACAAAAAACAACAACAAAAAAAACCAAAATATTACTTCTAAACTCAACATTTTACATTTTATGCTTCGTTATGAGTTTTGGGCTTCCGCCTCCTTCTCCAACCATCTCATGACCTTTTCAAAAACATTCCTCTATTTGTGCCTCGGCAGATGGCTAAAGAGGGCTTTGTTTCCCTTTTCTGGGGAATGTGGTTGACTGAAGTCCTCTGACCCAATTTTCTGTTTCTATCTGTGAACATGACTGTTCTGATGGTGCACCAGGGTCACCTGAGAATTTGACTTTTTCCTCAGAACAGAGGCTATTTATTCTTCACTACACCACTCACAATATGTGCTTTAGGACTTGTACTCTTCCCTCGCAGCTTATCAGAAACTACAGTTGAAATGATCTGATTAATCACTAAGTTGATAGAAATGAATACTACAGCAATGTAAAGGCACATCACATGACCATTCACATACATTGGGCATGTGGGTGCCGGTGTTAACATGAAGCAGGGGGTTTGCTGTTTAGTTGTATAAAACACTGAGGAAGTAAAAAAGCTGAGTCAAAAAGTACGAGCAGACAAGAAATGAAATGCACAATAGACAACAAAGTCAGCGTCGCCTATAATTCATTTTTAAAGTTGACTGAACCACTGGTAGTATTGGACTACGTCTTTGTTTTTCCCCAGAAATCTTTCAAATCATAGAGTGACGAATCAGGAAACAAATGTAGTTAAAGTAAGGCTCAAATGGAAAGTGAGCGTAGGTGTCATTGTTACTAAATTCTGTGGTTCTGCCCATTCAGAGCAAACCACAAGCCCAGAGTTTTCTAAATGAGATGTGGCCACAGCCTGACCAAAAGTCTGTAAGTGGTTTAGACTCTTAAAACTCTGGAGTAGTGTGGACACTAGGAGTAGACGTAGCTTAAGTTATGTGCTCTAAAACAGATGTTTACTTTGATTGTTTTCTGGATCAGTTGTTTGGTTCACATAACGTCAGAAAACAATGAAAAAAGTGTTGATTAGTGTTTTCCAAAGTCCAAGGGGACGTCCTCAGAATGTCTTTTGCCCACAATTCAAAGACATTCATAGAGGAGGAAAGAAACCAGAACATCTTACAATTTAAGAAGCTGGAAAACAATTAATTTAATGGTTGACAACTAATGAATTACTCACATCAGCTCTATAGTTAGGGTTATTGTATTTTGTTTCCTTAAAAAAATGGAGTTGTAATGTACTCCTAACAATAGTTTCCAGCCTGCTGCACTGTTAGAATGAAACAAACCAGCTAAACAGTGATATCCTGTGAAGCCACATTCTAAGTTTTATAACCTCTGGGCTGGTGTTAGCTTCCTGCACTGCTTTTCACGAGGTATCCCTGCTCTCTGTCAGCTCATACCCTCTGACAAGACACCACCTAGCACCTCTATAAATACATTCATCTATCTGTTCTGCACTTCATTATCATTCTGCTCCTCCTGCCGTCACTGCAGCTGCAAACTGTCTAAAGACACTTAGTTCAGTGGACAAAGACTAGAAATTGTTAAATAATTGGAATAATATTGTGTTCGACTCCCAGGGTCCAGTTAGTAAAATATTACTAAAATAATAATCACCAACTGTTTTACAAAAACAAATGATTGGGCACTGCTGGCTGATGTAAAAACACTCTCTGTTTTCAAGAGCTGTAAAGTGGTTTTCCTCTGGAAGGAACAAAACCTGTTTTGCATGTTTTGAATTTCACAAAATAAACCACAGCAGTCTGCAAAGAAAAGGTGCAACATGGTTAAAAAAAAAAAACGCTCAGTATGAAGAAACTGAAACTCCTGTACCCAAGAATTTTGCAAATCAGTAATGCAAATGTTATATGGAACAGCAGTATCAGTGTCCTGAGTTTATACAACACAGTGTAAATAATAGTTCTTTGTGAAAATGCAAAACAATACAAATTTTAGCAAAAAAAAAAAAAAAACTTTATCTCCAAATAGATGTTCAAAGGAAAAGATTCTTAATTAGTCACAAAGCATGTCACAAATCTCATCCAGTTCTGAAAATGTATATAGAGATTAATCTAATTAATCCCAAAAATAGCAAAATCTATTGAAGAAATAAGCTTTGTGTCTGCATGTTTCTCTGTGTTTATGGGGGGTCTTAGGGGCGACGGACCATACCTGGAGATCTCTGAAGGGGTGGAGGAGGAGCCCCAGAGGGAGTCTGGCCTTGTTGAGCAAAGCCTGAGTCTGGGGGATGCTGGACAGGGTACACCTGAATGTCCTGATTAGCAGAGGCAAACGAGGACAGAGAGCCAATTAGAAAACATATGTAGGTATTGGACGATAAGAGACAAAATGTGTGAGAGACAAATGGTAGCATGAGAGAATCAAGTGTTCTTCCAAATAGCAGGAAATGACCAATTAAACCAAACATGTAAAACATGAGCAAATATCCACATATTTCCATATGTTTATATATTTTATTTAGTAATTTAAAGTGAATTTTATTGATTATTACTACCATATTACCGATATTAAAATAATAATAATAATATTAAGTTGCCTTTATGTGGTGGTAAACAATGAGACAAAATGCAGAATGTTTTGGTTCAGCAGCCACTGATGCTGTTTGTGGTAAAAACACGCCCCGTTAGCTAATTGCCTACACTCGACTTACTGTGGACTGCAGTTGACTTTCTTAAGGTCGGAGCTGACGTTGGGTTCAGGGGCCTCCAAGGGTCTTGGCGGCAGCAGGTTCCTCTCCTGCAGCAGGTTGACCGGCCTCAGGGCCTCCACCTCCAGCTCAGGCACCCCGCTCAGCCCCCCCAGGGCCGCAGACAGCTGGGAGAGGTTGGGGAATGGCTGTGGAGACGGAAAAAAGACAAAGAGATAGTGACTTTTTACGCCTCAACGAATGCAGGAGCTAGTATCTGCTGAGAGTGAGGCTGAGAGATTCAAACATAAACTCAATGTACTACCAACAGCTTAGAGAGTTGTCAGAAAGGTTTTTGTGCAAACTACCAAAAAAAAAAACCATTATGTTCAACAAAAACAAATAAAAACTACAGAAAAACACTCGTACAGATGGAAGTGAGGACCTAGTGTGTAGTGAGATCGAGAACCAATCTGTCATCTGATGATTATTTCCCAGATTAAATCAATAGGTGTACAAAACAGGAGAAAATAGTACAACATGCAAGGGTCCAAATCCCAAATATATTTATTGTACTTTGTAGCTTTAAAAACAATTCCATGATCAAAAGGGCTCCCGATTAATTTTCTGTCAGCTCTAGCATTCAGACTGGCTGCATGTAGCTTAACACACCTTGACATTAGCAGGGATTGATTGCTGCACTCAGGTCGGTAAAGATGCCTTCGTTCACAATAAACAAGTGAATGCACAAGAAGGTGACGCATCACTCAACACTGCCCAACAGTTTTGTTCAAGCCGCGGCCTCACCTGAGAGTACTGCTGGTAGCTCGACTGTCCGTACAGGTCGTGGGAGGGTGAGGCGTCGGCGTGGGAGGCTGGTCCCTGCTGATAGGCTGACTGCATGCTGGGGTAACCATAGCTACCATACGGCTGAGCCTGGTTGGCCATATCATTAGAAGGTGGCATGGAATCTGGACAACAGACAGTTCAGAGTTACACGAATGTGGCGTACGTTAAAAACACAGAAATATACTTCAGTGTTTTGACGAGATCACAAAAAGTGGAAAGATCCCAGTGCGGCTGTGAAGTTTATTTTGGAAACGTGATATTTATGCGTCTCATTTTCCTCAGAGATCTTCTCATAATTAAAGACCTGCACCACATCACCTTTTCACAGCAAAAATAAATAAATAAAAAATACAAGCTCAAAGTAGTCGAGCACATTTGACAAGTAGAAAAGATATTAAAGTGCTTTTTGTCCTTAAGGACGATTCAGATACGTCTGTTTAAAGAAGACATCCGTTTGTGATGTTTAAGGAGGTTGTTTTGTTTTTTTCTTGTGTTAAGTTTTCCCAACTTTCTATCAAACCTGCTTTGATAACTTCTATTTCTGTCACCCCTCAGACGACACAATACTTGGGTTTGACAGGATGCTCACTGGGCCCAATTACATGATAAATGAGTTGTACATCTGTGACACTGCTACATAAGACCAACTATATATATGGGCCAGGTCAGCAGACAGTGGTTGAAGATCAAGTGCGATCCTCATAAGATCACCACATCCTGAGTGTGTGGAGCCCTGAGGCTGTTTTAACATCCTCCTGTAAACTCTAGAATTCTGGGATTAGGGTCAGCTGTGTGATAATCAAGGGGAACAGTTTTTCAAAGAAGGCGGAAGTGGGTGAAAGAGACACAGGTGTAATAGAATAGAGACCTGGAATACCTCGTGGAGTGAAGGTGCTAAAAATGGAGGGAAACAGCTGCAAGCTCGACTCACTGGAGCAGGAGGCTATGCACAGCGGGGATCCTGGTGCTGAGTGTACCAAAGCGGTGAGATCGCTCTTTTTTTGTTTTATTGAACACAGACAGATTTTTTTCTTGTGTTTTTGCAGCCAACCTGGGGAATAAGCTTTGCTCTTTGGGCTGGATTATTCTACTGTCTGGAATAACTTTTCTCCACGTGTGAGCGGTGGCTGCATGAGAAAGCACCAGACTGGGACACTGTAAGTTGTGGACTGTGTGTGAAGTAGGATTGTGATTTTGAAAATGTTCACTTTGCTTTGCTTTGTCATTACTTGTTTACAAAGACATTATTATTATTAGTAGTAGTACTAATAATAAATGATAACCATATTTTACCTCTGTATTTGATATGAATCGTTACTAATTCTTGCCAAGTCATGAGACAGATGTGATGTTTGTCACTGACCAATCGTAGCTTTCTTGAGGAAAAAGGTACAAACTACTGAAAGCAAGAATGTATGAAATTCTGGTTATCTTGTGTTTAGAGAAGCCTAAATAACACAAACACAAACAAAAACAAATGTGGACTTGGCCAAGGGATGCACCTTGATACCAGTGTGTGTAGCCTGTCCTTTAGTCTCACTTAATTCTTTAGAACATAATCAGAATCAACTGTATCAGGCAAGTTTGTACACACAAACAGGGAATTTGACTCCAGTGAATCTTAGCTCTCTTTATAAGAAATTAAAGAAATAAACTGTAACAATAAAACAAGAAAAATAAGAGTCAAGGACAATAAAAGCAAGAGTAATTCTCTGGCTTATGGGAATTATCTGGTTGAACCTCAGTATCTTTCAGCTAAAATGGAGAAAAACATCCTGGATTGTTTTTAGTTTCTAAATCAATCACAGTCGTTGTGGGCGGTTGGGCTGTGGTGCTTCCTCAAAATAGTGACTGCTCCATCACCCCGCACGTCTTCATGTTCACAGTGCAGTCTGGTCACAGCACGCAGATTACACACAGGTTTTTTTTTTTTTTTGGCTACAACAACACAATTGTTGCTCTCCATCTGCCCTACTTGATAGATTTAGCTGCTTGTGGCTCATTTCCTTTTCCCCCAAATTAAATTCAAGTTGAAGGGTCGCCATTTCGACACAGTGGAGGAGATCAAGTGCTCATTGCAGATGGTGCTTGACGTGTTAGGTTCCAGGAAGCGTTAAAAGTGTGACCAGTGCTGCATTGCTGAACAAGACGACTTTGGACAGGATGGCAACCAAATGTAAGTCAGCTAGTTTTTGGTTTTTATCGGTACATTCTCATTTTTCTGCACTACACGAAGATCAACACTTGTGCCTGATGCTGATTTCTTCTCCAGGTGGCCTACGTCTTTCAATTCTGGACCACTTTCTCGTTGATACTGCGCAGCCTGAAGTGGACGTTATTGATTTTCTGTCATAGCTTTTTTAACGCTTTATAGAAGTCGTGACTGTTTTAGATCAAATGCACAAACTGTATGTGGAATGCACCAGGATACAATTTGAAAGGGGAGAGATGTAAAACTGATGTCAAAGCCCTTTTTAGTTTATTAAATCAGTTAATTCATGTGTATTAGTGGAGCTTTTGTTTTGCACTTCCTATATATAAAAGTTAGAAACACAATACGCACATACCGTTGGGGTTCAATGTAGTTTTAACCTTTAAACATGTAGCTTTGCTGTGAGTTGCTCTCAGTACGAGCAGCCATGTATGCAGTGTGTTTGTGACGGAGATGTACCTGGATAGCTACCACCTTCTAGGGAATCGTAGCTGTTGGGCACTGGAGAGGCACTGCCAGTAGTGGAAGAGGAAGTGTCACCGCCTGAGGCAAAAATAAGGAAATAAACACAGAAAGGATTAAAAATGGAAATTAAAAGACAACCGGAGAGAACTGAAAGAATGAAGCATGAGATTCGTATGGTAAAGCAAGGACCCATGGGAATAAAAAAGCACAACAAAAGGATAAACAAAGAGAAAAGGCCTGAGAGAACGAAGGGCGGCGGCTATAAATGAAGTTAATAAGAAAACAGAAAGGAAGGAGGATCACGATAAAAATGAAACTGGCGGAAAACAGCAAAAGACAAAACATTAAAGAGAATGAAAAGCAGCTTTTTTTTTGTTTGTCCGTGAAATGTGCTTCGCTTGGACTCCCTCAGGCCTCGGACGAAGAGTGAGAGGGAGGAGGGAGAGTGGCTGCTGGAAAGAGAACATGAAAAGGATGCACTTAAGTCTTGAACACGCGAGTGTACAGCTTTGTGGGGAGCACCGGCCTCTGAGGAGAGGAGATGTGGAGGGTAAAGACTACAAAGATAATGTGATGGTCTGATAGTCCACAATCCTTGCTGTAAGAGCTACAACACTTAAACAGCAAAAACGGGTTCTGTGTGGAACTTGCACTAAAACATTTGTTCCTAAAATGCCAGGGTTTTTTCTGCATGGAGAATGGCATGAACCAAGACGTTTCAGCCAGTACCTAAGAAAAAAGAGCACAGTTTTACTATTTGGGGTTTCATTCACTTAAGCATCCAAGACAATTTTCTTCCTCAAATGGTCAAAAATAATGGGAAAAATGCATAAATTTTTGTCTCATAAGGTAAAAGGCTCATTGGCTTTACTGGCTGTTCACTGATCATGAATACCATTTGCCCCTGAAATGCCCATTCTGAAGCAGGAAAAGCCCTGAGAGGGAGTTTGTAGACCTGCAGCGAATGGTTCAGGATGAAAACGTGCAGCGCTACATCCCTCAAGTGTTTGTTTTTTTATTTCTTTGCAAAGCATAGCAGAACTACGTTTGTGTATAAATATCATTTTTATAAATTAGTGCAGTTTCATCTTTATCTGCAACAGTTCAAATCCCACCTATGTCGTATGTCATCAAATAATGGATAGATTCTCCCAGAGGATTACACGGGCAGAATATTTGAATGAGCCCATTAATCCATGTGTGCCAAAAGGAGGGATCAACGGCAGCAAACCAGCAGCAAAGCGACAGGCCTCAGGCAGAGAACTCATTGGACAGGACACGATCCAATTATCTCCGACTTAATCGGAACAGCAGACGACTGGATTATGTGCTCTGGAAGAGGAGGACACCGGGACAGCTAAAGCCTTCTTCCTCCTCCTCCTCCAAGATTCCTCTGAAGCCTCCTCCTCTTCCCTTTTGTTCCCTCGGCTCCTTCCATAAAGGGGGAGTTGCCACGACTAAAACAAATCTGTCACAGTAGGTGTTGATTTGAAGCTATGGATGTATTCGGCTCATCTTTACAGTTGCTCTTCAAAGTTTTAAGTCCACTTTGCTTTCCCGCCAAGCTGCTGCCACCCACCGATTACCGATAATTAAGGTTTAATTCATGCTGCGGCCAACAGCGTCTCCTTTCTAATCCATTTCTCACAGTCAACAACAATCTGATTATGAAGATATTAATCGATAATAAATAAACAGTTGCAGCTCCAGATTTAACTCAGTCCAAACATTTTTTCTTTAAATTAATAGTAATATTAGCACAACTTTTCAGACAGAGCTGCTTTAATAAAAGCTAAAAGCCCTGTATATAAATTCAAAGCTATATAAACTTGTATTGAGTTGCAGATATTATCTACTTTGTTTATTTTTATTGAATAAATTAATTAAATAAAACAAAAGCATACGCAAGATACGATTGGAATTTATCACTTTAAAAACACAAAACAAAAACAGTATTTATTTATTTCTTCTGACATATGTAGTTTGTTTTTTCTGTTGTGTTTCTTTTTCCTCTCTCATCTTTGTGTGCATATATAAATCTTGTGCTCTGGTAATCGTTGAGATTCAGCTGTTCTCAGCTTCCTCATCTCTTACAGGTGCTCTTGATGATTATCAGCTCTGTTTCCCCGCAAAAGTCCTAAGATCATTTCTGCTGTGTGTTTGTACAGGTGTAGCAGTCGGTAGATTGTGCTCTATTTGTTTTCTTCTACTTTCCTTTCACTCTCTCTCTCTCTCACTTCTTTAATCTGTACACTTTTCTTTTTCCCTCTTTCAGGTCCAGCAATTCAATTCAGTAATAAGCAAGCATCCAAAATAAATGAAATAAAATAAAATAAATACATAAATAAATAAAAATCAGACTGTCAAGAGGGGCCTTATATTCATAAAGTGTCCCTTGGCAAAGTAAATCTGTTCAGCACAACACAGCAGCCAGATCATCGTTCTGCTGCTATGATGCTGGACCGGACATGTTAAAAAAAAAACAAAAAAAAACAGTAAAAACACACCTGAAGTGTGACTGTTATGCAACAGGGATAACAAGGTGATAATTTAGTTTGACTCTCGGTGGTACGAGGCACATTTAGGTCACAATTTAAATGTTTCTGAAGGTTTTGTTTCATACATCTCAACAGTTTTGTCTAACGTGGTCAGCACTCAACAATCATTTGTTTTATATTTATATCATCCTTCATCTAAATCTCATTCTCAACTACTCAAAAACATGATAAGCACGGCTTCCAGAAATCAACAACCGCCGTGGTGCTGCTCTGGAGAATCGGAGCGATCGCGAGGGACAAACAGTAAACTAAATCAAGCTTTTCAATTCATTAAGAGATGTGCTAATGACTGCAAGCAGAGCTAACATTGCTTTCTCATGAGAGAGCAGGAGAGTCGGCAAACACAGAGAGCCTGGACCTGCCAGCAGAGGAGCAGCTATATTTAAACACCTGTTCACCTCTGGCTGATGACACAGCTCCTGAGGGACGGTCACGAACAAAACACCCGAGTGGTGCAGAACATGAGTACGCATGAGGCCGGTTAAACATGATCATTTGAATAGCATCGAATTTCATAGCAACGCAGAGTCAACATACTGGTGTTACTTGTTGACAATAAAACTCAATAATGTGTGTTTTGTGCAGTTATTGGCGTTTTTATTGAGGTTTTTTTTAACTTATTTGGGGTTTTCTATTGCTTCGGAAAACAATTAGTCATTTAGTCTGGTGGCTCATGGGCCAAATTCAGCCCTGCCACATCAATGGAAAGTTTTTTAAAGAATTTGTTTTTCATAGTTTGCATCAAAATATTTGCATCATGTTTTCTACATCTAGTCCAAAAACAATGTAAACATAAGGCAGGTGATATCCCGAGAAATATGACTATGACATCTAACCTTAGTCAATCATTTCCTTCAGGAATGTAAAGGCTGAACAGAAACGTCCTTATAAAAGTTTTTTTAACAGCAGCAACCATAAATAAAGCAAGTCGTGGCCTTTTTTAGTCATTTGTTATCAGATGATCTGCATTCATATTACAAAAAACACTAAAACATCACCACCATGACCATAAAACTCAAAAACCTCATTTTAGAAAACAATTGTCAGAACTGTTGTTGATTAACTTCCTCGCAATCACCTACTTGTGTTAGAACAAAGCCCTTAAAATGGGCTTAAAATTTAACAGAAACTCCAACTTGTATCAAGGCAATTTAGTCCATAACTACTATCTAGAGCTGTAAGCAGTGCAAGTCAAAACTGTCTATTGATTTTTTTCCCCCCCCCATCAACATGGATGACTGCTGGTAAGTGTAAAAGCCCAAGAAGTGGGTGATCATATGTCAAACATTAGTGAGAGAGAGCCAGACACCATGCTTGGCAGGCTTCTTCCTCTGCATGACAATTACATTGAGCAGAATCCTTCAAAGCTAAATTGAATGCTAATCGACTTACCTGCCACCTTCCTGTGAGAGAAAATTTCATGTCAGCTTCCACTGACGGAACAACAGCTGGACACACATTTAAAAGATGGAATCAACATTAAGTGCGAGCACTGATGATTGTGAGAGGGAAACATGGTGCACTTTGGAAGACTGTTGAGGAGGCAGCCAGACACAAAGAGAGAAATCTGATTAGCCTATTAGAAAGGAGATGGCACAGATGATGAGCGGAGGACTGGTTAAGTGTGTTTGCAGGTAGAGCAGAGGTGACAGATGGCCGTCAGACACAGAACAGAAGTGTGGCAGGGATCAAAAGTGACACTACATGTATGGGTACGGTGAAGGTATCTATTTAAAGAAATGCAAGAGGTCCATGGGCATGGTAAGGTTTAGAAGAACTACATGAGTGGAGTGGTAACAGAGGGGTTATTGGGAGGTAAAAGCTAAAGCAGACCTGCTTCCTCATCCTCATCCTCCTCCTCCTCATCATCATCAGAGCTGGATGACGAGGGGGCTGCTTCTGCTGGGCCTGAGGTGGTGGCAGAGGCAGAGCTAGCTCCACTATTAGCAACATATCCATACTGCATGCCTGTTGGAAGGAGGGGGAGTGGGAAAGGTACAGAAGAAAACGGTCAGGACTGGGCGACTGTCATCAGACTGGGCCGCCGTGATCGTAGACTTCATGCTATATGACGTGTGTGTTTAACTCTCTGAACCCCAAAAGCTACCAGCAGGTTTGAAAGGCATGTCACCAAAATCACATCAATTTATAAAAAACAGAACACTGGATTTTTAAGTTTACAAAAATCCTAGCAGTAATTATGTGTAATTACCAAATCTAAGCTTAAAACCATAACTTGTAATCAAGATCACTATATTCTACATGTCACACTTAAAAATGTACCCAAAATACATACATCCTGACTGCAATATGTTTATTTTATGAGAAAAGACAAGAGAATTAAAAAAAATAAAATACCCAAAATAAACTGACAATTCGACTGCACTGCAAGCTGTGTGTACACAGAGCAGAAAGGAGGCAAGTATGGAAACAAATTGGACGAACAGAGGAAATTAAAACCTACTCGATCAATAAAATGAATGCAGCATGGTGCAAAAAAGGTATACAGAGTAGTAAGGTGTTGGAAAATACATTCAGCATGGTGAGATGTCCTTCTAGAGGCGACGTGCAGAGTAGTGAAAAAAACGCACTGCAACTAGTTTGAAGATGTTAAAATGTAAATAGCAAAATATCTAATCTAACAAATTAAAGGAATACCATTTCTGTTCTCTCTTTTATGATTTATGGCATTTTAGCAGTTTCATAAGGCACAAAAGACATTTGTGAGTTCTGTCCACTTCTAGCCATGGCTGCTCTGTTTCTATACAGGTGCAGGAACAAAAAAAAAAACACACCCAGAAACTGCTTGGGGTTCAGAGGGTTAAGCAAAGAGCTAGCCTTTTCTAGTGGCACATCAAAGTAGCTTCTGGGCTGCCTGGTTTTTCAGACAAACTACATTTTACACCAGAAAGAGGAAAATACTTTGCATAAAGATCCTAAAGCACAAATTAAATAGGTCAACATCGCTTGAACTTTCTGGCGATGATGACAAGAGTAAGAGTCGGTCTCAGAACAAGGCAGGTTTTAACATTACCTACAAAACCAGTTATATCATAGAAGACAGCTGGAAAGAGTCCAACAAACAGAACTCACTTCAAATGTACACAACATTCAGTGTAAAGCAGGTTTCACATAGCTCTTGGTATGAAAACTTCACTGCTCATGGGACTTTATTTCTACCGAAGATGTTTTCTCAGGCAGCTGTTACTGCCATCCAACAATAGGTTTACAGCTAATGATTGTTTTTATTATTAAATATTCTGCAGTTTACTTTCTCAGTTTATTGATTAGCTGATTGGTATATAAAATAGAAAATGGAGAAAAATGTTGGCTGGTGTTCCCCAAAGCCCAAGACAATGTCCTCAAATGTGTTGCTCTGCTTAAAACCCAAAGCTAATTAGTTAACTCTCATACAGAAGGAAAGACACCAGAAAAGCTTTAACGTTAAGAAGCTACAATGAGCAGTTTATTATTTTTCAAGGGAAAAAATATCACAAGAAAATCTATATAAAACTATTTTTTGGCTTTACCTTTATTTTAAAAATAAATTTTTTAAACTTTTATTTCTTGATTATCGATATTTGATTATCAGAATAACATGAATTATTTTAACAGCTGACAACTAATCAATTGTTGCAGCTCCGCTCCACAAATCCCACACAACTGTTGCAAGTTTACAAAAATGAGCTAAATTTATCAGAAAAACCACTTATAATGGCCTCATATATGGCCACGATAATCCCAGTCTCTCTGCATTCAGTGTCACGATCACATCTAAAAATAACTACATCGTTTGATTTAAACATCGTCTTAAAATAAATGATTACATTCCTACAGAGGTGTGTCCGTTCTCTGTCCCACTGTTCTGTTGTGTAACATGTCTGCTGTTGCTGCCGGTGCAAAAGTCCTACAGTCTTAACCTGCTAATGAAGATACAAGTTTGCAGGCTGAAACAAACCAGCATCAGGCAGTTAAAGTGACAACCTGAAAGCAGAAAACTGGTAAAAACATTTGAAGAGTGTGTGTGTGTGTGTGTGTGTGTGCGCGCGCGCAACGGATTACGTGTGCTACATTCCCAGTGCAGCTGTGAACATATCAACCATTCACACACACTTTTACTGTGAATTTAGAACATTCAAACTGAACATCTAAACACAGGCTCATCTTCAAATTTGCACAAGAATAGACAAAAACCAGGCACCAGAGCACACACAACAAATACAGCGTCTCTTTTTAGGACGGTGTTTGTTCCCCAAGCAGCAAAAAAAAAAGAGGGAACTGTTTCATGTGAACTTTTTCCAACTACAAAAAGTATTTTCTTTTCTGAGCTATATGAATATTTTGTCTGGCAAAAAAAGTCATCGTTCACTAGCACCAAGGGTTTGAAAAACAAAACAGTAGTTCCATTGCATTTACGTTACTGTCAAGTGTTGTGTCTTTGTTACCTTGATGGTGGCCTGGAGAGGAATGGACTGAAGTGGAGGGTGTTCCTGAGGGCGGCTGATCTGTGTCTGCACCACCACTGCTTTGAGTGACCCCGCTGTAGGAGTCGTAGCTCAGAGAGGCCTGGTGGCTTTGGGTGTAGTGTTGGTGGACTGTGTTTTGGGCTGCAGGAAAAAATAAAGAAATAAATAAAAAATCTAGCAAGGAGAGGGCTAAACAGAAGATTTTCTGAAGAGAAAATGGAGGTTTGTGTAAATATATATAATTCTAACTTTTGAGTGACGTCTGATGCTCTGGAAATGAAAAGCTGGAAAACACCAGAAATGGAAAACAACAGCCGCTAATAAAATGCTCTACAGCGTTCCTTGTAGGGATGCTACAGGATTGTTTTGGTTTCAGACACATTCATGGGTTCATTTATTTTCTTTTTAAATCAAAGAAAGCCAGTGCAGGAGTGAAGCCAAATACATGCTGTATTACTGCTTAACTTTAGAAAAGACCATACCACAGAACATCCATCCATCCACTATCTATACACCGCTTAGTCCTCACTAGGGTCGTGGGGGGCTGGAGCATAGTGCCACAGAACCAAAAAATCCTAATTCCACAACCAAATACTAGGAGACTATAAATTAAACCTTTTAAATCTGATATAGCTCACTCAGTATGGACACAGGTCCATGCAATTCCAGCTTCATTGCCAGGGAAGGAGCCTTGCAGTTTCAAGGAACATCAAGGTAAGGCTTTAATCATGTCTCACTAGCAGCTGATCAATCTCAGTGTAAAACAGCAAGTCACACATACCTGTACTTCCTTGACCATTTACTGTTGGTGCCGTCTGACTAGGGGGAACCGCACCATACGCAGGCTGCACTGCTGTCGTGGAGGGTGGAGGCGCAGCGCTGTACTGGTGTAAGGGAGCACCCAAAATCTGGGTGGGCAGGCCTCCAGGTGTAGAAGTGCTCTGGGAGGAACTAAGGGTGCCATACTGGCTACTTCCTGGTGCAGACGGGTAAGAAACAATTGGGTAGAGGGGAGCTCCAGGGGCGCAAGCTGACACAGGAACCAAGCTGGGGTGCTGCTGCTGCTGCTGCTGCTGCTGCTGTTGTTGAGGGTGCTGCGCTGGGGAAGGATGGTATGACTGCTGTCCATAGTAGGATCCTGGAGTGGCGTAGGGTGGATGCTGCTGGAATGGCTGTTGGTTGTAGTGGGCATTCGATGGTGGTGGCGCTGCAGAGGGAAGGGTGGCATATGGCTGAGAAGGAGTGGCAGAGCTCAGAGGAGCACTGTATGGCGAAGGTGCTACATGATGCTGAGGGAGGTGGTTTTGCTGCTGCTGCTGCTGCTGCTGTTGATGGTTGTTGTGGTAGTAGTTAGCACTGTGGGCATTGTTCGTGGTGGGTGCTTTGTTGGGAGCAGGAGCAGCATGGCCAGGAATGGTGGAGTAGCTCTGTTGTTGAGGTGGGGCTCCATAGTAACCTGCAGGTGGATACATGGATGGGTACGTCTGCACTGGACCTGAAAGGAGGGACAGGACGGTAACGTGTCATGAGTTTACCACCAAATATTTCTGATAGTGCCTCCATCTTCACCAAACTGGATAAATTACTTTTACACATGGACAATGTTGTAATGTTCAAAGCAAATAAACAATGGAAAAAACAAATGCTAGCTGTGCCTGTATTAGTCTATCCACATCAGATATCTAACACCATTAACAGTAAAAAAAAGAAACCAAAATATGTCAGTATGCGATTTCTTCACTCCGAGAAGCCCTTTAAGATCTGCACTCCTTTCTGTCAATCTGACAACAAGTGAACGTGTCTGCTTCATGTCTGAATGAGCACCCTGGTCACTTGCAACAACAAACTTACCAGGTCATACAGTCACACTGACAGATAGGCCCGCACAAGCTCACAACATACTGTGAGTTGTGTGAAGTGATGTGGGGGAGGCTTTTTCCACATTTAAACACCTAATTTGGTCCAACAACGTCACAGAGCGCAAACGACACAGTTCCAGCCAAAATCAAAGAAAACTTTCTTGTTTTCTTTGTCCTTCAACGTCACGTCTGTTAAAACTCGACTGCGACGACAGATAGAAAGAGTCTGTATCAGGTCAGATGAATAAAAATCACCCATAATGAATGCAACATGAGTATGAACTAAACACTACCAAAAGCAAAGCTCAGTTTGTTGCTTCCAGTTGTTTGTAGGGTTGTTTTCTCTGAATGCATTAAACATCTGAATCGTCAAACAGAAGCAGGATCCGTATGAGCATCTCCAAGAGACATTTACACACAACAGCAGTAAATTCATTAACTGATTATAATTACAAACCCCCCCTGGCATGAAGACAGGATCGATCAGGATCTTATGACAAGTCACACGGTGTACTTCTCTTCATCTCAGTCAGGTGAGCTGTCACACAGAGTTACGGTTTACAAACTGTGGTTAAATCATTAGCAGCTGTCCTCAGGCTGGCTCCTAACTCTTAGTAAAGTAGTAGTTAGATTGTCATCACATAGATTTTGTTTTACAGTTTAGAAAATCATAATTAGTTAGTTTAGATTTACGCCTTTTTAATTAGTGTATTATTACACATCATTTAATGTGCTCTCCAATTGTCCATGTTCCTTCTCTCTCTTCATCACTGAGGTCTGACTGAAGCTGAGGAACACTGAAGTGACCTGTGTCTGAATGACAGAATGTCCTCACCTTAACTGATTGATGAAGCCAGACCTGTTCAGCACTCCATGTCTGAAAAGAGCTGCCCTGGCGTTTTCACATCACCTCTATTCCACAGCAGCACAATAGATTCCCCAAAATTCAGTATGACTTTTGGTTTCAGTGTGGTACGCCAAGATTTCCAGTGTCTCCATCTGGACACCCCTAATAGAAATGTCTGCTGGAGTCACTGCCAGCTTGTGGGTAAAAGCTGAGATATAAAATCCTGAATATAGGTTACCAGTAGCTGCAGAAGACAAGCTCCATCAGCTGCCGTTACCTCAGCAGGGAGGGTTAATTCCAGTTAGCTCTCAATACAATGAGCATCCCTCACACCACGGCAACACTTATGAGGGAAAAGTAAATTAATTCAGTGTAAATTAACAACGTGGTTGTTCACCGGAGCTTCGATATAAAGCGGCATTGTGAAGTGATGGTGCGCAATCTGTCAAACAGCTATTATCTGAGCGAGTGCTAGCCGCTACCTGCTTTGGCTTCAGTAGCTAAAGTTAGCTCGAGTTAGCAAGTGACTGCCATTAGCTGAAACCCTCAGTTTTGTTTAAATTACACGTCGCCCTGATTTGTATAACGTTCCCGTGATAACGAAGAGCAAAAGATAGTTGTACAAAAAATTAAATGTAAATAAAGCGAATGACAAACTGTCTGACATCGGGGGTTAGCATGCTAACGGCAGCGGGCTGGCTAATCGCATCATCCGGCCTGCGTTACCATTCTGATAGGGGGGCGCAGCTCCGCCGTTCGGTGTAGAGTTCTGGCTGTAGCTGACGGAGCTGTTCAGGTTGGTGAAACCAGACATCGCTCGGTCCTGCCGTCCTTATGCCCACAGATACACGACTGGGTAAATATACATGAGCGTCAGTGTCCCGAAGCCTCGTTTCCCCCCGACAAAGGCGTCAAAAAGGCTGCTGCTGGTCGGTGGAGACCCGGGCAGCCTGGCCAGGTCCGCTCGGCTGACAGCTGAAGCCTCCGGTCGGGATGAGAGGAGCCGAGCTGCCTCCTGGCTGCGGTCTAGTCACTCCCTCTGGTGGAGCTCCGAGGCAGGTGTGGACTTTAAAGACATCTTCTTAATTTTATCATTTTGTTTTACAACTATCTGTTTAATTATATTATTATATTCCTAATATTTTTTTTAAATATATAAAAAAATGCACTGACATTAGAACTGTCTGAATTGTGTGTTGAATTTTTACATTGAAATGAATTTAATGAATTTTAAATTATCTTTTACCTGCTGCTTTTTTTTTTTAGCTGCCAAGTTCTTTGGTGTGATGTCGTTTTTTTCTTAATTCTTTACGTCTTGCGACTCCCTTGATTGTATTTTAATTTGTATTGCATGTTTTACTGCCACAGCACCTTGTGAGCGCTGCTCCTAAAGGTGCTGTATAAATAATGTAACATGTTCCTGTGCAGGAAGCTTCTTTTTTTTTCTGCTGCATATGAATATGTTGCCTGTATTTAATATGCTACTGTAAGGTCTTAATACTTAAGTAAATATCCTGGTATACCGGTTTTTAAAAATACTATTGCATTGTTCTAACCTTAATATTTATTTTTTGGTCAAGTAAACATACCTCATTTACATATTTATATAGTATATAACATGAAAGAACATTAACCTTAATATTCAAATTTGTCTGGTAAATTTCTAGAATAAATAACATTGTAGGGTCTTAACATTATATATTTAATTAGTCTACCAAATTGATCTACCATCTTAACTGTAACATAGAAATTGCTGAGGAGAGTTTGCTAATAAATAAACATCGAGTCTTAACCTTAATATTTACACTCATTAGGCAAATATGTAAAGCCACTCTTATTTCTCTCCTGGAAAGCACTATGACTCAACATGTGCTATTGAAATAACAGGACAACTTGCATTTTTATCTCAGCTGAACATTAGATCTTCATCTTCAACAGTCCAGCTGTAAAAAGCATTACTAACTGCACACCTTTGGTCTGTGTTTGCATGCTTTCATACTGACACACATCTATATTTACACATGCAGATGGAGGTTCTTCCACAAATGAGTGTTAACCAAAGTAAGGCACACAGATGTGTTGCTGTTTGTGGTCTGTTTTAAGAAACACCTGCAGTTGTAGTAACCTGCACCACCCAGGCTTCACAAGGTTTGGAAAGCACACAGTCAGTAGAGCACGATACATGTTCTGCATATTTGTAGTTCTACAAAGAGCATTATAAATTCCTGTCTTTTATAACCATAAGTGAACCTGTTTGTGAAACCGGTACCAGTTGAAACAAATTAAAAACATCAATAATTGTCAAAACATTCATCACAGCTCAGCACTGTGATAAGAAAAGAAATTCCCATTTGTAAACAAATAAGCTGGAACTGAGCTTTCATTACAGATGAAATTTTCACAATATTAACATAATATAATAACCCCTCATATGTATTCAATAAAACATGAATAAAAGGTTCCATTAGATAACATCAACTTCATGATTAATCTGTCTTCAAGACTCCCATCTAATACATCTGACTTGATTCCCAACAGCCATATAAAAAAATTGGAAATTTAAAATTGGCAACACACTTTAAATTGATCATTCATAGTAATTCTACATTTTCAGGCACTGAAGTCCATTCGTTGTATTGCTACACATCCTGAGGGATTCTGGGACGTCCGTCGGTGCATTCACACTCCTCTTTGCGATGCGAGGTCGCCTCGCACTGAGCCTGGCCTTTGGTCTGGCAGGTCGGGCAGCAAGCAGTGTGTCCGTCCTGTCTGCAGCTGGGACAGGACAGAACCAGCTGGCAGCAGAACCGGGTAGAGCAGAGCTTGTACTGGTCCCACGGACAGCCGCAGTACCTGCAGTCTGAACAGCAATGGGTGTTTACTGATGCCGTTAAATTCTTTGTGTTATTTAATATGTTGATCAGGGATTCTGTTCACACACTAACCTGAGATGACATCATCGTTCGAGGAGATGGCATAGCGCTCATCAAACACAAAAAGTTTCCCTCGATAGAAACCCTCTGGGAAACGCTCCAGGTACTTGTGAATTCCACCTTTCAGCTGGTAAACCTCTTTACACACATCCTGCATGTAAGGCAGGAGAAAACAATTAACATGAATTGACAACATAAGCTGCATATCAGGATATCTGGACTTCAACTTAAAAACTATGACTAAACTGCTCCCCTTGTGGAGAATCAGCAGCCTGCATGTGTATCAGTAAGTCGAGCCAGTTCCGTGAGAAGCTGCAGCTAAATCAACCCCAAACAAATGAGCTTACTTTCGAGCGGAGGTAGGCGGAGCCTCGCTCACAGCGGATCCCTCCTGTGCAGTACATCAGCACCTTCTTGTCTCTGAACAGTTCAAGGTTCTGGTCGACATAGTCCGGGAAGTAGCTGAACTTACGGATGTTTGGGGCTAGACATTGAGTGAACTGCCCCTGGAGAAAAATGAACATTACAAATGTTTGGTCAAGCAGTCCTCTCACTTTACTTTAAGGTACTTTAAAAGAACAGTTCACCACAAAATACTGTTCAACCAACATCCACTTCAATACAACTGTTTGTTAGGACCAAATCATTTTGGGAAAATCTTATTGTGACAGATATCGCATTTTGATTACTGATATAACTTTTTAAAGGAAAGTTCAATGTAGACGCTGTAATTCATTTAAATTATATGATGACACATTATCATGAGACATACTATGAATATGTAAAACCATTTATGATGTATAACATGTATTCCAAACCACAGCCTTTGTGACTGATTTACTGACTGCATTGTTCAAAATTGCAATTTGGATTGGAAATTGATTAGCTATTTATCTGACTGAATAAACAGCTGTTTTAGAAAATTACATTCCACTTGAGTTCCTTTATTTGGCGATGGGCTGTTTCAGCTTCAGGTTAAAGATTCAAGCCACTTGTTACAACATTATCCTTCTTACTTCTTTATGACAGATGGTGTAGAAACTGTGACAATGATGACATTGTCCTCCTGAATGAGTGAAATTCAATGGTTATTTATAGAAAATGGATTTCCTACTTACAATTTTACTCTCGTAAAAATTGCGGCAGTCCAGTAGGATGGTGTCACTGCACAAATCCCCTTTATCCAAAAGAGCTTCAACTTCTTTATGAAACTCCTCAGGCTCCAGATGAACTCCTGAGAGCCAAAGCACACACATGAAGCTGACATGATAACATTAACAAAGTCTGTTACAACATCATCAACAACAACATAACACATAAATACACAGCAAGGCGTGCAGAGGAGCAATCAGTGCAGCCGGCATATATACAACTATAGGTATATTTGACATTATTAATATAATCAGTGGTCGTAGCAGTAGAATTACAGTATTAGTGGTTACAAGCAAACAGCACCTGCCAGCTGGTAGGAAACAGAATCAGGATCCACTCCCATCGGGACGATTTCCTTATAGACTCCGACCTTCAAGTCTGTGAAACACTCTGCTCCCCCATCACTGATCTAAACAAACACACACAGACAAATAGTTCCATTAGTATGCAAACATTTTAATTTAAACAATGAAGGACTAACTATTTTTATGGTGTGCCAATAATTTTTTTTAGAGAATAGGAAAAAACCAAGCATGCAGGGTGCACCGTATAAACATTATGAAGGGGGTGACGCTATTATACAACGTGAGTTTTCTTTAACAGATTCTTACCTTAAAATCTTCTTTATCCATCTTGAACACAGGATGTGAATGCATCGCCTTAATGTAAATGTCAGTGGCCACGTTGGTGCCACCAACTGTTCCATTGATACCTTCTGTTGCCACCCTCACCTAGAGAAGATGATATAGTTTTAAAGGGACACATCCATTGAATTGAATGTTTCTTTCTTGTTACATTTAAACAAAAAAGCATTTTTCTGCTCCTACTGTAAGTGTTCTGGAGTCTCCTAGTTGAAGGTCAGATAGGAGACTTTATTCACCTTGCCGGTTAAATTGAGCTTCTCACACAAAACTTTCTGCCAAGCACAGATGACATGGGGATCTTCTACCTCACAGTAGCAATAGTAGAGGAGAACCTTGCCTGGACCGCTAACAGGAAACAAGCAAACAGAGAAATGAGCTCACAAATATTCTGAAAATCAGCCATGTTAATACAACGTTATGCTAAACTTAACATTACAAAGAAATGCCAGCTGAAGCCATGTGGGTGAACCAAAACTTACTTTTGAAGCTGCTCCTCAGAGATGTGACTGACATCAGGTATCCATGCAGAAATGTCCACCGCCTCTGCCTGGTGCTCTTTTGGTTGCCGTGTCTCAGGCTCGTCTTCCAGTTGGCTTAACAAACGCTCGTACGTGGCCTGTGTGAGCTGCTGTAGTTCAGCACTATGAGTTCCGGCCACGTGTTTGTGAATGGCAGAGTGTTCGCTGAAGGTCTGGCTGCAGCAGCACCAAGATGTGACTCCATCCTCACTGCTGTCCCTCTTAGATGCCACATAGGCAGCAAATGACTGAAGATTAGGGGGGGAAAAAAGGAGAAAAAAAAAAGGGGGGTGAATCATTTTGTATTGTGGCAAAGTAAAGTAAACAACACTGTAGAGTCGTAACCTTATTATGTAAATTATTCTTGTATATTGTAAACAATACAGTGGAGTTTTAATATTAATACTGAAATTAGGTACATTTATATTTTATATTATTTTGGAGGGTCTTCATTTTGTAATTTGTATACCTTTGCAGGGTTTGGACCATAACACTGACATTACACAGGTATATTCACATAATCAACAAAGTTACCCTTTACACACTTCTGTTGTACTCTTGTTTTGTTGCACATTATTATTTGCACAACACCCACACAGGACTTGTCTACTTGACATATTACACTTATTGTACAGTTTGCATTTGATATTTTCTTACTGTTTATTTTTGCTTATTTGTCGGTATTTATGGTGGTGGTATCTTTATCTCTTTGCTGTAACAACCACATTTCAGTAGCAACAACAGTTTCATGGCGGCTGTTTACCTTCCTCCTGCAGAAGCTGTAGTATCTCCTCTGAGAGGCAGACAGCTGTCTCTCCTGTCTTAATCCGTCACACGATGAAACATCAACCTCCCAGCTCATGAACTCTGTTTCATCCGCTGCCATCGTGTTGAAGAGCTTCTAAAATGTTGTCAACTTGTTTGGCTAGTAAACAGCTTTAGCTAATGCTTCACAACATGTAGCGCTTCGCTGTTTGGACATTCAGTTAATCGACTGTATTTCAAATCATGGCTAAGATTAAAAAATAAAATCTTGAATTTGTTAAGAAATACAAAGTCTATGGTTACACATCTAACTATCAGCAGGCGTGCAGCAGAGAGCCCCAACAGAGCGCACCGGAAGGCAAAAGCCGGTGCACCTTCCGGTTGACCCCTGACTAACCCGGCTGTGCTTCACTTGAATCGGACCGCTGTTATTTTCCTGCTACAGCGGCGGTCTTGTTGGGTGATCCAGACAGAAGACGCTTGTTTAACCCACTTATTGTTTTATTTCACTTTCATTTTTAGCATCGGTTCGTCTTGCATTTCAAAGCGAAACAAGCGGCGTGAAACATGTCTAGGAGACGGCACAGCGACGAGAATGACGGTGAGTCGGTGGACGTTAGCTGCATGTGTAATTCAGGCGTTAGGCTAACTAGCGGCAGCTAGCTAATGTTAGCAGGTTTTTGGTGCATGCTGGTTGGTTAATTGTTTTACGAGGCCATGTTTGGGTTTTCCTAATCCTAAAAGTACAAATCAGTTACTATTCATTGATACTTAGTGCCAGTGAGGCGGCTTGGAGGGGAAAGACTGAGAAAACTGTGTTAGCAGCGACAGAATTAGCCGGTACGCCTTTACCGTTAGCTGTCGGATTAGCTGGAGTGAGTTAAGCAGCGTCGGTAACTGCTGTGGGCGGTAATCATTGCTGTGACACATGCAAACGGTGTGTTGGTAGTTTGTGATCTGGCTCTGATTGAAGGTTTAATAATTGATCGAAATTTAAAGGTATAACTCACTCAAAAAAGTATAACATGCTGAGAGAGCGAAATGACCAGCGGTAACGTTATCGACACCTAATCCCTAAATTGTTCATACCTATGACATTTATTTTAATTTTTTTATTATAGTGAATTTTTAGTTGATCATCAGGTTTCCTATGGCTAAAAATAACATAAAGAATTTAGTAAAGACATTGTGATAGAGATGTCAACAATGCATTTTAACTATTGCATTTTTAAAAGCATTTTTACCTGAATTGTAGAAAATGAAATGGGCTGAACTATAATAGACACTTGTTCCGTGTGTTACTATCTTTTATTATTCACCCTGGACTAATGGCTGATTCTATGTGTTTGTTTTAAGCAGCTCTAATTGGTATTTATCACTTTCTAAGATCATCATTTCCATTGAAAAGCTCTGTCAGTGATCAATTGTCCACTGTCTGCTCATCAAGAAACAGCAGCAACAGATGACTGGTTGTGTTGCTTCTCAAATGCTGAATGCTGGAAAGTGAACAGTCCATGTCAGTTCCTCTGACATGTAATCAAACATAAATGTCAAACTGCTTTCTCAGTGTCCTATGAATTGTTTCAGTATTCGATATCTGTGCAGTTATGGCAATATCACTACACTGACACAAGGAATACTCTGGAAATTAAGTATTGTACTCATACAAAGTCCCACATTTGTGTTAACTCTGATGCGATCACTAATGGTTATCTAGAACTTATTTTCCTGTGTAAAGTTTTTCAATGCCCGTGTGTTTCACATATCAGATAAGCATATTCAGTTTTAGCATGGCTTTTCACATAATGCTGACCCCTGGTATTCTTTCAGCTGTGCTTATTGTTTTATGCTTTTATCTTTTTTCTAGGAGGTCAAGCCCACAAAAGGAGAAGAACATCAGAGCCCATTGAGATTGAAGATCGCCTGGAGTCGCTGATATGTCGTGTGGGGGAAAAGGTGAGAGGACTTTTTTTTTTTAAAGATATTTTTTGGGCTTTTCTGCCTTTAATGGGTAGGACAGTGAAAGAGTGACAGAGAAACATGGGGGGAAGAGTGGGGAAAGGACATGCAGCAAATGAGCTGCTGGCTGGCTGCATAGTCCCCGCGGCTGCTGCATTGGGGACCATAGCCCCTGTACATGGGTCGCCCGTCCAACCTGTTGAGCCATTTGGGCGCCCAAGGAAGGGACATTTTGATGTTTTTAGATTGAACAGAGTCTCAGGCGACTAAACGCTCGACTCAATAGTTCTTGCTTTGTCTTGTACTACAAAAAAAAACAAGGTTTTGGTAGGTGTTTGCTGCAGTAAAATACACTCTTGTTTAGCAAAAAACAAGCAAAATAAATAAAGTCTTAGCTGTCTTTACGATCAAGTGCTTTGTAATGACAAGTGCTAAACTGCTTCTTGTTTCCTTCCAGAGTACGTCGTCCCTGGAGAGCAACTTGGAGGGCCTCGCAGGCGTTTTAGAGGCCGACCTCCCAAACTACAAAAACAAAATCCTGCGCATTTTATGTGCTGTGTACGTTCATAGCAGTTCGCACCCTTTGATTAGCATATAGCCCTTTGATTGTCACTTCTGACTGAACTTGTTTCTTGTCGACAGCGCCCGCCTCCTGCCTGAGAAGCTGACCGTGTATACAACCTTAGTCGGCCTCCTCAACGCCAGGAACTATAACTTTGGGGGCGAGTTTGTGGAGGCCATGATCAGGCAACTGAAAGAGACGTTGAAAAACAACTTGTACAATGAAGCTGTTTACTTGGTATGCTGACTATTTGAAATCGTCTGATATATGTGCCTTTAAAATGTATTTGTCACTACACTAACATATCTTTTTTTTTTTTTTAGGTGCGTTTTCTATCTGACTTGGTCAACTGCCATGTGATCGCTGCTCCCTCTATGGTGGCCATGTTTGAAAACTTTGTCAGTGTTACTCAGGAGGAAGATGTGCCACAGGTAGGCAGACGTTTAATGTGGAGTAGTAATATTTTGTATGCTAAAGTAACTAAGGGATTTCTAAACCCAACCGATACATTTTAAGTGCAGGTGTAGGAATTAGACATCATCTAAAAACAGTAATTAGTGCCCATTTGTATGTCTGGTTATGTTTTACGTGTCATTAATGGATGAAAAATGTAATATAATTCATTGGTTTGTTTGGCTTTAGTCTCATTTTTGTTGTCATGAAAGTTGCTGGTGGGTATTTTTCATCATGGTTTTCAATATTCAGAATTAGCACCGGTGCAAACAGCATACATACTTGAAAATCACCATCTAAGTTTTAATTTTAGTGAAAACATTGAAATATGATGATTATGGGCAACATCATGATTGTCAGTAGCTCTTGGCTGCATCCCTGCTTCATGCTGAGGTGCCCACGTGGAACACGAGGTGTTAACTGGTCTCGTCTCCGTCCACAGGTTCGGTCGGACTGGTTTGTGTATGTTGTTCTGTCTTGTCTGCCCTGGGTCGGTAAGGAGCTTTATGAGAAGAAGGATGTTGAAATGGATCGGCTCCTCAGCCAAATCGAAGGCTACCTCAAGTAAGACCCTTGCCTTGTTTCTGCACTGTCTTTGTTTATTTATTGCTGTTGTTGTGTCATTAATGTGCTGTTGAGTCTGATTTTTTTCTCTTTTGAGCTTACATTGTCATTATCAAACCAGTCTTTGTTTCAGTTCATGTCTCTAAACTTTGTATTGTCGACATTTTTCAGGAGGAGAGTAAAGACTCATGTCCCCATGCTACAGGTGTGGACGGCAGAGAAGCCCCACCCACAAGAGGAGGTGAGAGTCCTGTCAGTATTGATTGAGACAAAAGTTACCATGTGAAAAGCTTTTATAGTGCAGAATAGTCTTAAGTGAAGCAGTGCTTCATCATTATTCTATTAAAGGGGAAAAATGATCTGGGTTGCTTTTGGTCTTCCCTCAAAATAGTGACTGGTGGAATATTTGCGTACAGGGAGATAAGCAGTGTCTTTAAATGGATAATCAACTGTAGAGCACAAGAGAAAACTAACTCAAATCCTCAGAAAATGTAATAGTGATAGGCTGCTGCTCAGAGGTGTTGGTTTGTGTTTCCTGTTGCAAGTTGTTTTTTGAAGACAGTAACGTACAGATAGCAAAGAAAGGAGGACAAGGCTGCCTGGAATGAGCAGCCAGTGACAGGCTGATACCTGCAGCCAACATACAGTCAGTCAGACTACCACAACATGTAACAATCCCTGGAAGTGCTGTACTATAAGCATGCCAAGCACCGAAATGTGTCAAAATTGCAACCTTGCAACTTGAATTTCATTTTGGGGAAGAGAAAGAAGTCACAGGGAACCGTGTGTGGCGAGTAGCAAGTGCACAAAGAACAGTTCCGGACTTTATGATCATGCCTTGTAGCCTTTGTTTACGAGTTGCTGATTGCTCGCTATAATTTTAGCAGCAGCACATTGTTGCAATGGAGAGAAGAATAAATAAGGCAGCCATGGTCACTGCTGTTGGCCTCTGATGTGCTCACGTTACAGTAGCTAGTAGTATAAACGCAGTAGTAATGTCGCTCCCATTAGCTTGTTTTTTGTTAGTAAACCGATCACTTCTAATGTTGATCCAGGTATGTTGTTATAGTTGTCTCTGTCTCCTCTTCCTGCCCTCCATGTAGTACCTGGACTGCCTCTGGGCTCAGATTCAGAAGCTGAAGAAAGACCGCTGGCAGGAGCGTCACATCCTTCGTCCGTACATCGCCTTCGACAGCGTGCTGTGCGAGGCTCTGCAACACAACCTGCCCCCCTTCACCCCACCGGGACACATGCCTGACGCCCAGTACCCCATGCCCCGGGTCATCTTCCGCATGTTTGACTACACTGATGCCCCAGAGGTTTGTCGTCGTGTTTTGGTAAAACTTTGTAGGAAACAAATCCAAATGCGTTCTGAGTAGAAAAACAGATGAATGTGTAATGTTGTTAAAGGCAACAATTTCCTACATAAATCCTGTGTGCAGATGTAAAATTCTCATTCAAAATCACAAATTTATAATAACACAAATGTATTAGGGAAACTGCTATCATGAGAATAACACTCCTGGTGTGTAGAGTTGCAACAATTGATTAATTAAATACATTTTTCAAGAAACAAAAGTCAAAATTCTCCAAATCCAGAGTCTTAAAATAAAAATACTTTCTGGTTTCTTTCCTCCCCCATGACAGTAAACTGAATATATTTGGG